TTGTACAAACATAGTGCACGATTATCAATCATATGACCCAAACATGAAGTGAAGGTTCTATGCATGCTATTTTTGATCAGCTATTGATTACATTACAAAACAAAACACAAAAAAACACACAAAGAAACACAAAAAAATTAAAAAATAAAAAAACAAAAAAAAAAATTAGATCTTGAGACCAAAGTGAAATGGGATGGTTTTGTCTAGGTAGGTGGCAGTCATCCGTTTTGGTGAGTTCGGAGGGTTTACGATGAAGATGGGTATTTCGCAATGGAGTTCTAAGTTGATGGAGTTCTGGGTTTTCCAATTGAAGCTTTCGTTTGCGATATGGATTCGGCTAATATGACAGGTTGAGAAGTGCTGGTACCATTTCGATGTTTGACTATTCCCGATTCATAGTTATTTTGCTATTAAACTTTTGTTATGTTTGGTCCTTGGTCTGTAAGATGACATCTCTTTGGTGTATAGATGGCGCGCGATCTCCGTGGGAAGTTTCTCAATGGAGGAGGAGGAGGAGGTTTTCGTGTGTTAGTCACGTGTGGTGAACTTTGGAGTGAAAGTTATCTTTGTCACAATGACAAGACCTCTTCGAGATATCGCTACAATTCACTCGAGGAATGAACATAATACTACCCGTGCTATACAGATATCAAGAACAAATGCACNGCGATCTCTGTGGGAAGTTTCTCAATGGAGGAGGAGGAGGAGGAGGAGGAGGTTTTCGTGTGTGAGTCACGTGTGGTGAACTTTGGAGTGAAAGTTATCTTTGTCACAATGACTAGAGAGACCTTACATTGGTCTGGTATATCTTGAATGAATCTATATTGAATGCCAAGGACCCTGGACATGGTTTTGTAAACGTCAGCCAGCCAATGGTACGAGGATTGATAATCACATCCTCTCTACACAATTTTACCTCCTGCATATAATAACATTCTTGTCATTTTCTTCAATCTCTCTTCTTCTTCTCTCTCGCGGATACAAAAAATTTTCAACCAAAGAGTAGATCCTTCAAGAACAAATTTAAAGTGGAATCTTCCCATGTTCAAACTAATATCACTCCAGCCTATAAGGCGTGTACTTCCAAGATGTACAGCTTCACCTGCGGCTACCTTCATACGTACGATAGTACACTCTAAAGAGACCAAGACCCAACTCCAACGAGAAAAGGACAAGCAGAAGAAGCGTAAATTGAGACAAGAATTGAAGTTCAAATCGTTGGAGAACCCTATCGACCATCCATTGCATATGCCTATTGCCGAGGCTCTCAATACTATTAGATCATTCGAAGTTGGCAAACCGGCTGATAAGACTACAATCACATGTAACTTGTACGTGCGTCAGGAGCAAGGTGCTGCCCCCATTAGCGGAACTGTTGACATTCCATTCCCTATTAACAGAAGGACTAAGCCATTAGTTTTCACTACTCATCATTCGATAATCGAAGAGTTACTGTTGTTAGTCGATCCACAGTTCTTGGGAGGTAAGGAATTAATTGACAAGTTTGTTGATCAAGAATTGTTGCCTGGTGACTTTACTCATGTTTTCGCAACGAGTGAAATGGAGAGTCAATTGAGATCAGTGGCTAGGATATTGGGTCCTGCTGGGTTACAACCAACGAAGAAGAAAGGCACAGTGACTGACGATCCGCAAGCTATTGCAAATATTTTGAGGTCGTACCAGGTTAAACAAAAGGATTCGCATATAACTTTTACTGTGGGGAATGCTACATTTAGTGACTTTCAAATTATGTCCAACTTAAAGGCAGTGAGCGATGTCATCTTTTCGCAAATTGATCCAAACGCATCTAAAAAGACTAGGTTGGGATATTGCTATATCTCATCTGCAAACAGTCCCGGCTTGGTTATCGATTTCAAACAGGAATAAAGCGATAGAGAGAAGGACATGGGCTTTTAGAGGAATGCCCTTTTTGGTTTTAGAAATGGTATAGCTAACTCCGAATAAACTTGTATATACACAGTCACTGCGTCTTTTCCTTTTCTTGAGTGACCTCAACTTGAAAAGTAGTAGTAGTAGTAGTGGTGGTGGTGGTGGTGATCACGGTTGTAGCGTAAGCAATCATTAACCACGATGGAAACCACCCTAAAATCACAACCAACCAAGTCCAACTTTGTAATTGAATCCATGACGTGATCAAATTGACAAAGAAATTCTCACCAAGGTACCCGTTGGCAACGACAAAAACAAAGAATGGATTGGAGACGAATAAGCACAATACAGCCAATTTTCTATTCTTTTGAATCACGGTGGGAACAAATGTTAAAGGGATTGCCAATACACCAATTGTAAAAGCCAATGCGAAATGGACAATCAACAACGCGGTTATCAAAAATGCAATGATCAACAATGCCAATCCAATCAAGGCAAAGCCTGTTGTATTGCAAGAATGCAGGTTCTGTGTTTTCACAACAACTGTGGGCAACGCCAGGAGTGCTAATGGGAGGTGATTCAAAATCTCCAATGGTGATTGGGGTATGATGAATGATAAAACAACGCAAATGACTTCAGCTGCCACTGCAATGGTCAACAATTTGCTCAAGTTGTTTGTGATTTGCAGCACATCTATACCCGAGTTCAAGATGGCATTCAATGCACCAAATGCGTAAGCCACTGCCAACATAACAGCACTAGGTAAATAAGTTCCAATAGAAACAAAATGCTTGGGACTCAACATCAAGTAAAAAAAGAATGATTGGTGAAATTTTTCCAACAAGTTATTGACCGATCTAAACGTGGAGTCCACAATTCGACCAAACTGAGTCACATCATGTCCTTGTGTTCCTTTGGCTTTTATTGTGAAAGCCTGGATCTGCCAGCCAGAAAATGCCTCGTGGCCATGAACATCTCTAGATCCAGCAACCACCAACCTCCAAATTCCAGCAAATAAAGTTTTTAATCGGCTTGTGAAATTGATTCCTCGATCACTGATACCTTGCAAACTACAGCTGATTCCCTCGCCTTGACCTATTTGGTTTGCAGTGTTGAGCAAATCCAAATTGGGCAATTGTCCATTCAAACCTTCATAAAACATGTCGTAGTACTCAAAACCATCTCCTTGTTTACCATATTCCATGATTATAGCTGCCTCAATCGATCCTGCAGTATCGTCCAAGCTCGTGTGATAAGCATGCACCCACGATCTCAAACTCTGCTTACCGTCAGGTGGAATGACGAAAATGATATTTTTCGACCAGATGGAGATACGCTGGAAATACCGCATCAATGCCATACCAAGTGAAATCGCCCCCTCGTTCAACTCGTCATCTGAATTCACCCACGGTACCACTAATGCCATAGCCTCGGTGTTTTCCCCTCGCGAAGCATGCATTATAGAGTATATTGTATCGTTGGCGAATCCATTGTGGTGTCGCGACACGGGTAAACCTAGTTCTTGTAACCATTGACTAATTATTTCATTGCGCAGCTCGATTGGTTGTTGTTCAAGTTGGTGTACCTCGTGTCTATACCCACGAACATAGTTCCATTCGCTTTCTCTGAAATACGACATGACTTGGCCTGGCATCAATGCATTTTCTGAGATGTAGCAATTTCGATAGTTTCCGTCTTGTGGTAGGGTTGCTAGCCATAGTATACTCAAAACTGCCAAACCGAAAGAAAGACGAGGTAGTAGTCTGATGGTCTTTGGAATCAAGTTCAACTTGTTAACTTTCCTGAGTACTTTCTCTGCCAAGGCCATCGGTCTCCTCTTTTGCAGTGTTGTATTAAATCCGTGTCTTGTAAAACGTGTGCTGTATAACGTGTCCTTGCCGACAGTTGGTGAAAAAAAATAAACGAAATTCATTTCTATGAAACATCAATGCTACCACATTCTTTCCACTAGTTTTGCAGGGAGAGATAATATGACACAGCCGTATAAACTGCTACAGAGACAACTACGAAGACTCCCATTACCGCGGGGCATCATTGCAGAAGGCTCCCAAGTATTGAAACAACATTATCGACTTGGCAAAAGTAAAAGGTTCGAAATAATATTTCAGCAAATTTTGGAACAAGAAAAGTACAAATCCATACATGAGGTTCTCGATGCAATATACAAAGTAGACAAGCCACACTGGTATATGGAGTTCCTGAATATACCATACATGCGAGTAAAGGGACATTGGCCAACAGCACATCTTATTGATACACTAACTGAGGATGTGAAAACAAGAGATACGTACTACAATAAGCTAGCTAAGCCATTCTCGGTCACAGAGGCACTCAAGTTGAAACAAAGTAGCAAGTCGGTTCTTCGATTACCATTGATTAGACAGTATAGTGGCCAGGTAAACTCCGTCGTCAACATGGTTAAAGAGGTGAGAAAGGCGTATTTTTTCATTATGTCGCAAAGAGTATTTGAAATCACAAAACATCCATTTGAAGTGATCTACCACCCCTCTAAACTTGGCGTCCCCGAGCACCCGGTTGGTATTGACTCTTTATTGAGAAAGAAAGTGAGTCAAGTCAAGCACGTGTTGGAGATGTATCAACCTATCTTGATCCGGCAATTGACCAAATTAATGAATGCAAGAGGTGAGATCAACCCCAATTTCTTTCGCCATCTTCAACGGAAACGTGCTGATGATACAACTAGTTATCAAGTGAGAAAAATGATAATCAAGGAGAAGATATTGAGCGAGGAGCTGTTACAGGGCATACTCGAAAGTTATTTGCGACAACAATATTACCTTGAAAACGGAGAGTATAAACTCAATCAGATGTGTAACCTGCACAATCCATAAATTTCAATCTTACTACGACGTCAACTTCAATACAGCATAATGGACCTTATCTTTATCAGTTATCCAAATAAATTTCGAATTGACAGCTAAATGCTCTGGCTCAAATGGAAGTTCAGGCAATGGAGTTGGTACAGTTTGAGCATGATCAAGAATGTAAAGCCCATCCTTTGCCAACACAACCAAGTCCTTCTCTCTAAATTCAAATGCTTTGGCACCGGACACAGTATCAATCTCGACATCATTTGGTCTCGACACACTCAATTTCTTGGTATTGAGGTCGAGACTTGCTTCAACAGTTTGAAGTCCCCAAGTAGAACCTCGAATTTCCCAAGAAAGAGTTGGATGGTAAATTTCGGTTTCTAGGTATATTTCGACATGTGACTGATGATACTCATCCACTTGATCTAAAAGAATCTGGAATGAGGCTGAGATTTCTTGCTGAGAGTCGCTCAATAGTTGACTCTCGCCTGCGTATTTGATTGTATCAAAGTCATTTGTAATATATTGCAACACTTTTGATTGTAGCAAGTTTGAATGAAGAAATTCCAACAAGCTTGATGTGGATGCTGTTGTAGTGGTTTCCTTGTCTGCAAATTTATCGACAATTTCCTTCCACCAGTTGAAAAATTCAACATAGTGCTCTTTCTCCTCCTTTAAGTCCCACATGAACTGAGTATAAGTTTTCAATTCAGTTTGACATTGTTTTATAAGATTGGCGATATCGCTCAAGTCGAGTTCTATAGCATTCCTCCACTTGCTGGTTCCCTCCAACTCAGATAGTAACAAGATCACTCTTTCCATCGGGGCAATCAAATATTGGAAAACCTTTCTATGACATTGTTCAAAGGCGTTTTCGCACAACTTGTCCATTTTTTTGAATCCACGTTCTCCAAATTGATTAACCCAAAAGTCTTTAGTTTCATCAGGTATATTACCCGTGAGCAACATGTCACTCAAGTTTTGTAACAAGTTACCCTTGACTTCAGTTTCCAAATTTGACAAGTATCTATTGATGGCAATGTAGAACGACTTGATTTCTTTTTCGACTTCGTTCAACGTTGTTTTAGATCTTTCCAAATATTCAATTGTTTGACATAGTAGAGTCATCAGATCTGCATAAGCTTGTCTTGATTCAGTAGGGATGTCGATTCTTATTATCTGGTTGTTTTCGTCAAGATACACTTGCTCAAACAAAGCTGGCAGCACCTGCAGTCTGATTTGGTATTCGGTAACAATATTGATATTTAGCACTTTGTTGAAGGTGAAGGTGATGGAATTCCTGTCCTGTGTCACCAAGTAATCCAAATTGTAGGATATATCATTGTAAATGGCCGGTAAACTTTTGAGTACTTTGTTTTGCAACCTGTAGATGGTATTTGACCAATGAATGAACTCAATTTTACTGAACTCGTGGTCCAATTTCTTGACCAATTTGCCATCATTTGAATCGTATATCTTTACAGTCTTGTTTGCCCCTGACAAACAGAAATTCTTTTCATGACAAGTTATACCTCTGATTTCGGAACCGTTGTCAACTGTGTAAATTTCTTCACCACGCATACGGAAACAGTGGATTTTACTTTTATCTCTGGTCATAAGTAGCAAGTTCATTTTGGGACACCAGGAGATTATTGAAGTTGGTTCACTTTTCAATGGAAATTCCCCCACATGAACAACGGAAACTTCGCCATCTTCATCGGCCAAACGAGCATCTGGGCCAATTTTGATATACTTAAAGCTTGGACTAAAAATCGGAATACTCTTTGAAGGCATTGCCTGCTCTGAGTTGTGGTGGCTGAATCAATAAGTAACACAGAGTGATGCTGGGAGATCGAATGATCCCTTGCAGGGTTGTCACGCGTGCCGTTTGTTTTGCTTTTATTGTCAATTTTGTTTAACACAGCGTCGAATGCAGTCACATGGAGTGTCGTGGTTTCTGCAAACAAGAAAATAATTTTGGTTGTCGTAAAGTCTACATACACGACAAAGGAAGTCGTAGCAATAGAAAAAAATCACATTCACATAGTTAAGCCACACAGTAATTACATAACTCCGAATATATAACAGCTGTCAACACCAAAAACCACACGTCCATAGACAAGAACAAACAGAAAACTCTATAGTTCAAGTTCTTGACTAGTTCTTTTCTTTCGTGTTTACATACAATGGTCACTACCAATACACAAAAAACGCCCTCTATCTCCACCACTTCTGATCTACGAAATACACCAATAGCCATGACTCAAGCCCAACTAGACACTATGGAACACAAGATACTTTATCGACAGACTAGATCAGTCAAACTAGGTGAAACTACACGATTTAAAATACACTTTTCCCCGCATGCCGAGGGCGATGAAGTTGTGATACCGCCTACTTTATGGGTGAAAGTCAAGAACCTTGAACCGGTATCGAAAAGAGCAATATACCTAGGTATGTCTAAAAAGAAGCTTTACTAGCCATGAGTACAAAACAAAGCAAAGCAAAGCAAAGCAAAACAAAACAAAACAAACTTAGGAAGCAATAAGAGCGACAGTTTGTCACGGGAATATGGCATCATTATCAATACTAATGAATTTTTTTTTTACTAACAACGACTCTGTTACTAAGCTGGACCATACATATTATATGTTGATTGTCGTCAACTGGATTACGACCCTAATAAAAAGTACTTTGTCACTGCAGATCAGCCGGTTTTTGAGCCGCAGCTTCTACCAGGCCAGTCATTTTACGCACAATTGTCATGCCACACTTTGAAGAAAGATTACTCCTGGATAGTTGATGTGGTGTCTCAAATCATCTTTAATACAAAAATCGTGATAGATTTTGAAATTATGGTGGGGACCTCAAAGCAAGTACTTCATGAAGCTTCAGTAAATACAGTCAAGGGCATCACCCCCTACTCGGACAAAGTGGGCACTTTCCATCCTTTATTGAATGTTACTGAGTGGGACACCAGGGATTTATGGAACCTCCCCGTCCTCCAGCCTGGAAAACCAAAACACTTGGTTATAGTTACTCATGGACTACACTCAAATACAAGTGCCGACATGTTGTACTTGAAGGAACAAATTGACAGAATGGCAGAAAAGACACAAGACACCAGCGGAGAACAGACTGTTGTCAAGGGATTTTTTGATAATGCGGGAAAGACGGAGCGAGGGATCAAGTATTTGGGTAGTAGGGTGGCTGAATATATTATCGAACTTGTTACGGAAAACGAAATGCTCAACAATGGCCAAGTTACCAAGATTTCATTTATTGGTCATTCATTAGGAGGATGTGTTCAAACGTTCACCATTGCATATCTTCGACTGAATTTTCCTTGGTTTTTTGAAACAATTAAGCCAATCAATTTCATTGCCATAGCGTCGCCATTATTGGGAGTAGCCAACGAAAACCCACTTTATGTCAAAATTGCATTATCGGCTGGTGTTGTGGGTAAAACGGGTCAAGAACTAGGATTAAAGTACCTTGAAAAAAATTCGAAGCCGTTGTTGCTTTTGTTGCCTTCTGGATTGGCGCATAAAACGTTGAAACAGTTCAAGAGAAGGACTGTATATGCCAACGCATTGAATGATGGCATTGTCCCCTTGAGAACGTCCTCTTTGCTATATCTTGACTATAAAGGGCTAGTTCCATTGATCAATTCCAATGAAGTTTCTCTAACAGACTCAAATGAAGCTCGCAATAGCAGGAGCAGTATTGTGGCTGCGGGCAAGACCCCAAAAGGGAAAGCTTCTGGAAAAGCTCCCAAATCAGTAAGCGATAGCAATCCGTTTCTGCCAATGCAAACACTCATGTCATATTTCATGCCACAGAAGCAAAAGGGTCATGGCGAGCAGTATAGGAACTTTCAAACAACATCAGTAGACGGAAACGTGGATGACGATGAAGGTGGCGATGAGAAGCGTGAAGCTCGTGGAATTCCCAACCTGACTTTTCTAGATAGTGCTGCAGCTCTATTTCTACCACCACTCCCATCCATGAAGTACATCACAGACCCCACCAGTCGAGAAAATGTCATTATCCACGACAAGGTCTACTATGAGAAAGATTTGCCCAAGTTGATGAAGAATGGTCAGCAGCTAAGCACAAATGGGGTTAGCAGCGGCAATACTGGCTCTGGTCCTTCAATGACAAAGCGGTTTCTCAATAAACTAGATTACAACTACGAGGAACTTGAAGAAGAGATTGCTCGCGAGTACCATAAAAACATGAGTTGGCGCAAAGTTGTCGTCAAACTCAAGCCGGATGCGCATAATAACATTATTGTACGAAGGAGGTTTGCCAATGCGTATGGATGGCCGGTGATCAAACACATTGTGGAGAACCATTTCGGGCAGGAGCCGGTCACCAACAAGGCGGTAGCATCAGTAATGCAACATTCGTCATCGGTGGGCGAGTTTGCCAGCCACGATTCATTAGACGAGGAGCAAGACTTGACGAATTTGGTCAATAGAGATTTGGTTGCGCGACAAAATCACGAAATTGACGAGACTACATCATCAGCTGAGGATGAAAATAGTGCAAATGCCGCATGGATTAATTCTAAAGATAATGCCGAAAGTATATTTGCATTGGGTGTTGCTGGATTATTGGGGGAAGTTACACATTTTGTTGGCGATTTCAGCGATTCCATCTTTAGTGGGAAAAGACCCACGATTCCATTGATTGGGCAAATCCCAATACCTGCCGCATTGATTTCGCCATCGAATGAAGGGGTACCTGTGACTACTTCTTCTGACAGCAAAGCCAAAGGTGGAACTCGTGGCATTGACAATGTCAGCGATGACATCGATGAGTCTGGGGATTTGAGTCTTTCTAAGGCAGGTGTGATGGACAACTTTATCTAGTATCAAATGTATATAAGCCTCAATTTTTTGGACGAAGAAACACGCTAATTTATATTTTTATCTTTCTGACGATCCACCATCTCCTCAATTTGCTTCCTGCTCCACCACCTCCTCTTGAACCACTTCCCCATCCACTTCCACTTCTCCCTCTTCACCGTCCTCTTCCTCTGCTTCCACGGGAAACAACTCATTAATCCTACCAACAATCCCCTCACATACATCAACACTAAACCTTTCCTCGCACTCCTCGATCAACAAATACAACACTACCAAAGACCGAGGTAGGCAATTGACAATCTGCAACTTCTCAACCTTCATCAACTCGAACTGGTTTAAAAAGGACATGAGCTGCTTGAAATTGTCAGTGTCAACTTGGGTAATCTCGGCATTTTTTTCCATGAATCGAAGCACGTCTCGCGTTACCACTTCCAAGTTGATTCCGCATGCGGTAAATCTGTTCTTTTGCAGTTTCGTAAGATGTTTCTTCTGATGATGGGTGCTGTTGTTGTGATCGTGCTCTTGCTGCTGCTGCTGCTGTTGTTGTTGCTGCTGTTCTTGTTGCAATGCTAGCTCTTCTTCGGGGGAGAATGTCCAGTTGTACTTGTGTTTGATATGTTTGAGGTGTTCATAGACTTCAAAGTTGGATAAAAAGGCGTCGCGTTCTTTCACCACCTGCATTGTTGGGGGTGTTGTGTGTGTATAGTTGATGCGCTAATTTACAACTGCATCTTTTGTTCGATTAGAAAAATTTCTGCGATGAATTTTCAGAACATTACACAAACCATCAACGATGCCCCTCTTCATGCCCAGCTAATTCGTTAGGGAATATAGACTTCAACACAACACATTAAGCTTCATTTACTGAGTATACAAACCAAAAATATAAAAAGAAAGGACACAACTCTAGCAAAACTTTTGAGTAAAAAAAAAAAAAAAATTAAAAAAAACGCAATCATAGAAGCATAAATGAAGCGGGGTTTCCTCTCTCAAACTCGAGCAGGTCTAACGGACTCACCACCTGTCACGGATCTGTTACTCTGGATCGATCTACGCTCCGGAACTGTGGCCATGCCACGAGCATGATCATGGACACCGTGTCCAGCTGGAGTTGGCTGCTCTGCTGCTACAATTTTTGCCTCCTCCTCTTCCAAGATGCCGTTCTCTGCAGGGGCAATTTCACCACCATTAGCATCTCTGCGTGTAGCTCCACCTTCGAGATCACCACGGCGTGTTTCGTCTTTTTCGGACGAGTGTCTGAAAAGCAAGACTCCGCAGCATTGACGGACAAGGCCAAGATCAAGAGCAAATATGGAGCCCCAATAAAATGGGCTTGGTCTGAAAGTGTGACCCAAACCGTAATTCACGACCTCATTGACATAACTGTAGCTGAGAAACAACGTGCCTTCAACACTGTATAAGAGCCAATTGAACAATGTAAATGGGAGTAAAGCCTGATAGGAACGGCAAGTAGCTGTTGAACTGTTTTCCCATGAGTTTGTGGTGCAATCAGTTGGAAAATGAGCAGCAATTGCAGCCCAAGAACCAAGGTAAAGTATCCAAACAGCTGACTGAGCACCCAAGATGACAAATGAAGGAGTTGTATTGTTCAAAGCAACTGGAACAAAAAGACCTACATACCCCAAGTAAAGGATATCAATGGCAGCCACGGTGGTTGTAAATGACACTCTAGGGATATCGTGGCCCACCTTGGCCAAAATGCTTCCACTGAGACACAAAATGGCAACAGTAGTAACGAGTTCAACTGTACGTAAGAAGACACTAGTGTTTCTTCTTGGTTGTACCATGTTTTATTTTGGAAGCTGCGTTCGTTTGTAGTATTTGAGTTTGCTCAATGAAATTAAATCAGTGGGTAGCCAAATCAAGAAAGAGAGGCAGTGGCTGGGTGTAATGGTTTGTTTTGTGTTATACCACAATGATTCAAAAGGTCAGAGTGGTTTCAAAAGGTTTGAGATTGGTGAAAGATTTTGGTTGTAAAATTGGTTGTAAAAAAAAAAAAAGAACAAAAAAAGAAAAAACAAAAACAATCAAATTATATCCAAAATATGGAAAAATGGGATGGGTAAATATTTGTGGGAAATGGAATAAGCACAAGTTGTATCATGATTATTATTGAGCATTATGGCATTGCGTTCTAACGATTGTGAAATACTGCTTCCTTCTTCTCAGTATCTATACCAGCAATAATGATTTCATTTTATGAAGTTCATGTTGCTGTAGTATTCTTTGGTCCCGTTTTAGAAACACGAATGGTTGTATGGAAACTCCTAAACATTCCAAAAGAGCTTAACATCATGGAAAGAGCTATGTCTTGAAAACTTTGGTTTGTAGTAAGTGACTCAAGAGCAGAGGTAGTTTTTGCACCCAGTGTCGCAATTTGTTTGGTTGAAAGATACGACACTTCTTGTACTACTGTCGCAACACAAAAAAAAAAAACGCGAGGACAATTGAGCATCCAACACTGTAACATCACAGCAATACCATGAGTTTGAAATATATAACCAAAGCCAACAAGGAGTTGTTTAAGCCTATTATTCAAGAACTATCAGAACAATCCAGCAAGAAGTATGATAAAGAAAACAAGACATTTGAGCAATTGAACCAATGGAAAGACGACGACTTGCTCTCCACCGTTGCGAGTCGCTATTCAAAATCAAATAAGAATACAACATACATAACCAAGGACGAGCTAGTGAATTTGATGGACTGGAAATTGAGCATTGGCACTTTCAGGCCCTCGTTGCCGAAACTTATCCGATCTAATTCCGAGGACACTGTGGTACAAGTGACAAAAGCTGGCTACAAACTAATGTTGGAGTATTTCAAAAAATTGCCGTCCAATTTCTGGCTGAGTGCTTCGGAAGAGAACTTAAGCGACTATAAGAAACTCATACGACAAGCGATGAAGGAATTTTGTAAATTGAAAGGGGTGGGACCAGCAACGAGCAGTTTGATAATGAACTGTTTATACAAGGTTGAACCAAAGTTTACACCACCATTTTTCAGTGACGAAAGTTTTATGTACTACGTACTAGACCCACAGAAACCTGGTGAAAAGATCAAGTACAGCGTCAAGGAATATGTCGAGGAATTGTTACCGGTGTATTTCAAACTATTGAAGAGTTATCCAGAAGAAACATTCACCGAATTGGAACGTGGTGGATGGGCCTTAAAATACTTTTATTTGTACCATGAGGATAAGTTGATTAATGTTGAGTCTCCATTTGAAGATGATCAATGGAAAAGATTTGACGACGAAAACGAAACAGAATCTGTCGAACCACCCAAGAAGAAGAAGAAGAAGGAGGAGGAGAGGTCCACTTAGGTAAAAGCGCATATTAAAATATAGAATGTACACACTCTTTTGTCCATTCAATCAATTGGGCCCATAAAATCAGTCTCCAAGTTTAGTAGCTTGAACTTGTCATCACGATCGCGTTGAATCAAGTGCGCGATATTATTATCAACATCATCGAATATCCTTTCAAGATTTGAGGTTCTTTTAAATCCAGCACTCTTCAAAATCACTGCGTTAATTGATGACCACACTTTATTGAAATAAAGCATGTGATTCTGGATTAGTTTCCTCACTTTTGGTAGTTTATCGAGATCTTGTTTCAGACGAACTAGGAGCAAAGGTGAAAGCTTATTGATTTCATCTTGCATGGCATCCAGGCTGTATTGCTGTAGTAGCCTGTGTCTTTTGAATATTATTTTATTCAACATTTCTTGTTCACTCTCCTGATACTCGAACTCGAAGTTGTCATGCAATTTTAACCGTCTGTCAATGTAAATCTTCAAGCCGATCAAGTAGTCAAGCCATTTGATTTGGAAAATGGTATCCACGCCTGAAGCAGACTCATAAAATTCATGATGATAGTTTTCATCAAGAAAGCCAAGCACCTTCTCAAATTGGTAAGTCTGTAAAAGACTCTTCACCTGTTGTCTATTGTTAGCATGACTTGATGTCAAAAGCCGAGCACTTTCGTCCTTCGTGGCTGCATCCGTGGCATTCAACTTATCCAAATCAGCATTGAGGGATTTAAAAGTATTTATATATCCTTGGTGAATTAGGTATCCCTTGACTAACTTGTTCAATAATTGCGAGTCGTCACTGACATGTAGCAACGACCTCTCAGTAAAACTGAGGTTACTGGACTCATTCAGCTTGGCAGTACTCAGCCGGATCTTTTCAACCAACGACAAGTAGATTGCTTCTTGATTTTCTCGCTTGAATTGCTTCACATAACTTCTAATGTCAAACTTAAACTCTTTAAACCCAAAATTGGTTGTGATTTTGGAAGTGCTTAACTCATCAACTTTACCAACTTTGCCAACTTTCCCAACGTCAGATAACTTAAAGCCCAACATTGGAAAAACTTCAACGGTTGCTTCGTCAGTTCCTGCAACCTCAAACAAATCATTTGAACCTCCTTGGTTGGATGCTATGTCCTTTTCAATAATGACTTTTGTCAACACACCGTTCAAAGTTATAAATATCGACTTGTTGACGAAATTGATACCACATCCAATCACGTCTGTTTTGTACTCTCTCCGCGATAAAGTATCCAGCACTAACCTCGTCTTAAAAGGAACTCCGATATCGATCTTACCTGAGTCAAGATCTTGTTGTTGAGCCCTTCCAATTGTACTGAGCCGCCTATTCATATTTGAAATCAGTGCCCGTCCCAGCGATTCTGCAGTCTTTATGGAATTGTAAAAGTTGGAGTCAGCAAAATTGACAGCATAACTGCCTTTAAACTCTCCTGGCTTGGTGTTGAGAAACATATACAAGTCAGCATTCGAATATCCATCCAATTCGTCAGGGTGATGGATATCATGCTTGATACTTTCCAAGTCTATCGTACTTGGCTGAGTAGTTTTATTCAAAGTTGCCTTCATGGCGTCATAAGTGACAACTCTTTTGGTGAAACCAGCAAGCACCTCCAAAGTTGAGTTGGAGCTCACAGACGGGTCATTCATGGATATCAAAGTTTTGAAATCTGTCGCTTGTGTGGCCACTTGTTCAATCTCCAATTCGTAGTAATATATCCCAAATGATGAGCTTATAGGTTGGTCAGTGATAAAGTTGTAGAAACGTGGCATCTCCAAACCAAGGTCGTCGGTAGCAGAGACTGAATCCTCAGATTTCATAGTGATCGTTGCGTATCCATCTTCAGGTGTTATATCTAAATGAAACTGGTCTTTCAACAGTGATATACATCGTGAGTGCATCAACGGAGTCCATGTGATTGGGAGAGGGTAATCGAAAAGTGTCTCCTTATCTAGCCTGATTGAGGTAGGTGTGCGTCCTGACCTTGCTTTGGAGCTGGAACTAGCCGTACGCAAAAGTTCTTTCAATGACATGCCGTAATATGTCTGATACCCATCCGACTTGACGTTGTCGTGACAATTTCTAAAATCAACTTCACCTACTTTTGTGGAATTGAATATCGAAGATGGCCCCTTTGCAGTACCTTCTTTCGCCTTATCACGATTAACGTCTTCGCTTTCATTCTCAGCCCCACTATCAAGCAATCTCGATTTGAAAGTGTTGAATAATTCATAAGCATATACATCATCGTGTGAATTAAACTCCATGGGGTTAGTCCCCAAAACTCCAATTATGGCTAACTTGTACAACACTTTCTCCTTAATTATCGAGTGAAGAATCGGATCGTTAGAAAATTTCGAGTTTGGTCCTCCATTGTCAACTTCAAACTCTAGGGGGTTCATGGAATTATAAGAAGAATCTGTAGATATCACGTTTCCAATGCTCAATCTTTCACTGAGGCGAGCCAACTTCTTCTTTAATTTGCCTCCTTCATAGGTATATAATAAGTACGGAGGTATAACGTACATTGTTGATGGCAGTGACATATTTCTAGTGCGCTAAACGTGAGGGTATATGACAGACAGCTGTGGTTGCTCAAAAATGTTGAAGATAAAGTGCGGGATTTCAAAATTTCAAACACCTCCTTTTTAAAGATATCTCTACAAAAGAAATAGCTCCAACTCGTATCTTTCACTTCATGAGCCAAAAACATATAGAGCGAGTTCATCAGCTCATACCAAATGTGGACCTCAAGGTGATTTCACAAGGTGCAGAAGCACTTGTCCTTCAAACCAAAACTCATCCATATTCAACCCATCCCTATTTGAAAAATCAAAATCAATTCATTATAAAATACAGACCTCCAAAGCCTTATAGACACCCCAAGATTGATACACAAATCACTAAAACACGGACTGCTGGGGAGGCTAAATTCATGTACAAATTGAGTAAGTTGGGTCTTGCGTGTCCCGCTTTAATATCCTGTGATTTGAACAATGGAATCATTTGGATGGAGAATTTGGGTATCGATTTACCAAATGGGAGTGTCAGTTCGGTTAAGAACTGGCTATGGTATCTTGAAAAAAAACAAGACGAAACTGGATGTACAAACGGTCGAGTGAAGGAAGTTTGTTACAAAGTTGGGCAATTGATAGGAAGGTTGCATCTTGCAGATATGATTCATGGTGATTTGACAACATCAAATTTGATTTTGACGGGGAGGGAGGAGTCATGGGAGCCTGCATTGATAGACTTTGGACTTTCATCATTTTCAGCTTTAGCGGAAGATAAGGCTGTAGATTTATACGTCCTTGAAAGATCAGTGACAAGTACACATTCGGTATTTGCTACTTTGTACAATGCTTGGCTATTGGAGGGATACGAGTCTGCTCATGAATTGAAAGAATATAAAAAATTTGGTAGAAGCAAGTACACCGAAACTATGAAAAGGTTGGAGGAGGTGAGACTTCGAGGCAGAAAGAGAAGCATGTTAGGGTAAGGAGTTTCAGCAACTAGTTGTCCCTAGTGTATACAACCCATAGACCAGATCTGGATGTAGCTTATAGTTAATCATGAATGTCAATTTCCATCCTCTATTCTGTCTCCTTCGTAAAGGGGAATGTTGTTGTCCTCATGTATCTCAACTTTCGTTAAGCTTGTTTTCTTTTCGCCCCAAATTCCCGCAAAATTTGAAAATAACACATACAGTACATTATTCACAATTGATACTTGAACTACTCCAAATCAGCGATTGAGCAACATCACTGATGTGGTGCAAGTCACCTCTCACAGACTAGCCGTTCCTGCACTCGTCATTCCAAACTACATACTCTTTACGATGTATTGCAATGTGTGCTGCAAAAAATCGAGTTCGCACAAGCTAGACACAGGAGGGACACGAAACAGGGACACAGGACTAATCGTATCCATAAATGCATGCTTGTCTGTTGCTAATAGAGTCAGAAGTGAGCACAAGATAAAGACAGCCATGGTTTTCAAAGAGTCTTGCTTCACTACAATGCCAACGATTCGGAAGTGACTAGTTTACTCAGATAATATAGTTTAGATTCATCACATCAATTCAATAATGTACCTATAGAACCTATGTACGATACGTACCAGTCAACTCTCATAATCAACACTCCTACCCTCAATTCAAGTCACTCATTCTTCTTCCTGGTAGTTTTCTGTAATAAGTGCTCTGATTTTCCTCCGAAACATATCAAAATTTCAGTCCACAAATACACATCATAAAAGAATTCCCCCTTTTCCTCTTCTTCCTCCTCCTTTCCCTTTCTTCTTCTTCTTCTTCTTCTTCTTCTCCTCATCATCATGTCACTCCAATACGCCGCTACTAAGCGCACACGTAGCCTGCGTATTATCGTTACTCGCCACTCAGTGGATAAAATGAAAATGTTCACAATTATGACGAGTAGTAAACCAGTCCCAGTTGCAAATGCAACTAACCAATTGGTCCCGGATCACTCCAAGTCCGAGACTAATGATGATCACCACCACCACCACCACCACCATCACCACCATCACCACCACCACCAAGACCAAAACCACCATGTAAACAACGAAATTCAAAATGAGAAAGTTTTCGAGCAACACATCACCTCGAATTCGAAAACTGAGATGATTGAAGTTCCCGTTGATAACAAGGTTCAATTTGGATTGCAGGATGAATGCAACATTCCGGCAAGAGACGAATCTGATGAGTCAAAAATTTGTTTTGAAACACCATTGAGTTGCACAAAAGACGCACCAGATGAAAAGATCACCAGCTCCGAAGCCCCATTAAGTGTGACAGGGGATAAGCTGGACGAGCCGGAAGTACCTGTTCCTGTCGATGTTGAACAGCGAGAAATCCCGACCGAGAAAAAGTCTCCTCCTGAATTGGAAAAAAGTGAGGGTGAACAGCACTTGAAGTCAGTCGACAACAACAACAACAACAACAACAACAGCAATGAGAATGAAAATGTTGCTGATTGTAAAGAGACGTGCTTGGCTCCTCCTGAAACTGTCCCTGTTGCAAGTGACTTGAAACTGAAAGCCAAATGGAAGGCAAGGTTGAGTCAGAAATGGTCCAAGATTGGATCTGCTATGAAGTCCAAAGCCGAGGACAAGCAGACTGCGAACTGTGAGACCAGAGGGACAGACAATTCGGAGAAGCCTCCCTTCAAGGACAAGTTGAGGTCATTGTTTGGGAAAAAGCGCATGAGATTTGAAACCACGGGTGAAGTAGTGGTTTTGTTTGATGCCGACGACTACAAAGATGAAGATCAAGAGTTGTTTGTAGTCGATGATGAGGCTGAAGAGTGTTGTACTGCAACCAACACCACCCGCGTTGATGACCCAGGAGCGAATTCGAACTCGGGAGCTATTGAATTGCCAATCGAAAATCGTGATAGCAATGAAGTTACTGGTACTGTTGTCGAAGGCAATAATGAGAATGCTCAGCACGAGGTTGAAGCTTCGCCACTGGTGTCAACTTGTCTGAAAGCTGAACTTGAATTGAAGGCAGTTAAGGAGGAGTTGGCTTTGACGAAAGAGATCCTAGAGTTGACTAGGCAGGAATTGAGATTGACGAGAGAAGATTTAGAATTGACAAGGATTAAAGCTGAAGCTGTTGGTTCTGAAACAAAACCTGCCTGTCTTGAGAGACAAGTTGCTGCTCCTGAAAGCGAAGCTGCTGCTCCTGAAAGTGAGATTCCTGAATTGATAACTGTTCCCCCTCCACCAAGACCTGCTACCCAAGACATTCCAATGAAGGGTAAGAATGCCAGACTCAAGAGGATTTGGAGCAAGGTAAAGAAGCCTTTCAAGAAGCGTGCTCGTGTTGCTGACGCCACTGTGAATGCCCAGGATTGTGATGACGATTTGTTGTCTCCTTATGCTGGCCATGAGTTGAATCATCCTCATTCTGAACACGCTATGATCTCCCCTGCAATTGACACTGCAGAAGCTGGTTGTGAAAATGAAGGTGCAACCGCAGATGTGTCCGATGTTTGCAAGAAAGGCAAACGCAAGGGTAGACAGAAGAGAAAGCGTACTGACAAACCAGGCGAGGAAGAGATGCCAGCTGAAAGTGGGTCGGCAAGTGAATTCGAAGAAATCGACCTTCTGGAGCCGCAGACTGGAAACAGCCAGCTCGGAAACAATGGCACCGGGGTTCAGGATACTGGACAAGAATGGAGGACAAAGTGGCGCAAGTTTTGCGAAAGGGTCCGAACCATGTTCAGAAGAAGAACCAAAGTCGATTCCCGCTGATGGCAACAATGAGGTTTTGGATGACGTTGTTTTGCTACACCTCGATGTTGGAGTTTGACCAAGATGTTGGTCAGTTGTTTTTTTATTTTTTATTTTTTTTGGTATGCGCGGTTTTTGTGGCAGACGGATTATAGACCAAGACCTGTTGATGGTCAGACCAAGTGGTTCAAGTTATAGGCACATTGATACTCCTTGTGAAGTTGACGAGTCCAGCAGTGTGGCGTGGTTGTTTGAACGTACTGCACCAGCACCGGAGAGATATGAACGGCGTGTCTGGATGATGGACTCGGAGAGAGGATGTATCAGTGTTGATGACGATGAAGTTGAACAAGCAGAATTCATCGGCCCAACTTGAAGGAATCGGAGAATGGTATTTGTCTCAGTTGAATATGTCATGTTGAGAGATTTTGGATGAATCAATTGTACCTGAGGATGATGATGATGATGATGTTGTTGTTGTTGTTGTTGTTGTTGGTACTTGATGACATGAGACATACTATGAAAACCTTGACAAGAGCAGTGGCGACGTTGGACTGAATCTTAAGAATAGAGGGTTGTGATGTGAGTTTCATTGAAAGTTGGCAGAAGTTTTTGGGATACTACGCAGGTTGTTGCATTTTCGGCGGGAGCTGTCACGATAATTGATAACCAGAGATGAAGGTAGCTGACCCGTGCCGCAAGAAGTATTCCCAAGCCCATAGACAGAAACTCAGCCATGAATACAACCCTCTGCATGTTTAGTCCAACACATGTGCAATGAGGAAAGGACAAACCAGAATACGGCAGACGCGTTGAAGAGAGTACATCAGTTATGGCAAAGCATAAAAGACACTGGGGGGGCCTCTGAGCCACCATTTTGGTGGGAGAAACAAAGCGACACCCCGTGAGTATCACAAGACCGTTCTAGGAACGTCTTTCATGGGGCCGCTTCTCCTTTAACACCGGATGGGTTCGTGCTTGGGGAAACCCAGAGTTGTAATGATGCCGCGAAACTGAACGATTGATTGTGTGTTAAAAACCGTTGTACCCAAAAAATCAAAATTATTAAAAGATCAAAATAATTTAAAAAAAACCAAAAAACAAAACATTGTATCATTTTAAAAAATCAGCACAATCTTTCAACTCGTCAGTGAAGTCTTGCCTGTGATGGTTCTTTCCATGATGTCGCATTGTTTCTTGTCAAAACCCTCCCCCCCTTCGAATGGGTCCCAATTTTGGTCATAATCTGCAGCGCGAGTTACCAAAAAATTTGCATTTACTACACAATTTTTTTCTACTCAGTTTGAGTTGAGTTATTTGTTGGACTTTTGTTTTTGGAAAAGGGGATAGAGGGTAGTTTGGAGTCTGCCCTCTTTGTGGATGTCAATGAATTAGACGTGAGGCGGAGATGTGTCCGTCGATAGTTTCGATTCTTTGCTACATTTTATTTTTTTTATATTTGTTTGTCCAATTGATATCTACATCCTAATCTTTCTCTCATCTCGCGCATCTCTTTCTACTGTAGTGCTCTGTTGAAACTTGTTGATGTTGGTGGTGGTGGTAAGATCGAAGGCGTTGAGGTTTCGATTGACATGTGGATGCTAGATGAGACTGACCTCTTATCCCACCAGCACTGAACTGCATGAGGACGCAACCATTTGATCCCAAGGTCCTTTTGTGAATAAAATTAGTAATGAGTTGATTCAAACTTCTTCAAACTAATTGAAACGGCATCATCGCGATTTAGCTAAAAACGGGTTCTTTTTTTTCTTTTCATCGTGATGGTATTTGTCATAGTATGAGCTAGAAAACCATGTGTGTCATGGTGTAATCATCGATACAGAGAGACCCTGGCTACTGACTTAGTGGAGGACGTCGCAAACTGACGAAAGTGGTTTTAACGAGAAGGGATCTTCTCTTGCGCTGATTCTCCGAAAAGCATTAATTTGGACAACAACACGGACACCTCTATCCCCAACTCTGCACCTGCGGATCTCACTATAACTAGCCATTAAAGGGGGTTCTCATTAATAAGTGGATGCTGACACGCTTTGCTTCATTTCTTTTGTACATTATCTTACCTACAAACACTTCTCACTTTTGAAGAACCGTGATTACCAAATGCAAATTATGCTATAGACTGGTCAGTGCAGACTTTTTTTCTTCATTAACCCTTGATTAACTTTATGCTGTTGAAAATAACGATTGACGAAATCGGTCCCAACAAGGGCAAGAACACCGCCAACTTGTGCTCACTAGGGAAATAAGCCTGTTGGACCATCTTCTTTTCAAAAAACGCTTTATTTGACGCCAGTTCTGCTTTGGCTGAAGCATCCACCGTTTTTGTCTTGATGGCTTCATCAACTTGCTCAAGACTGTAAAGCACCTGTTGGCGAGTTTCTTCTGGTACAGTGATATCCTTCAAGGACTGTGACAATTTGACTAATGATTTCAAGTTATCAAGTGAGTTTTGAAGATTCTTGTACACCAACACGCGCTGCAACGAGTCTAGCTTTATTTCCAAGGATTGGCTGTCACTTTTGGGGAACCCGAGCAATTGTAATAATTGATTGGCAAAAATATTCATAATGGGGACTAATTCATCCACGGTCAATGTTGCATTGGCCATTGATGGTAATCCTCTGTTGTAAATCTTGAATCCTCCCCATTGAGGAATCAAAAAGGAGTTGGAATCAGAATCGGCAATGGAAAGTTTGTTCTTGGGAAGAAAAGTTACGAAATTGATGGTGGGTTCGATATCTAAATTAACAAGATTCCAACCACCGAAATCAACAAATGTGGTCAAGTCATCTTGAGTAATGATTCCATTGGGGTAAATACCTTTGAGGTTGGAGTAGTATTGGATCTGGGTGGTTACGGAAAATGAAGTGATGTTTTGTAAAAACACAAGAACTGGTTCGAATTCGGCAAGAGCTTGTTCTATTTGCCAATTGACTTTCTTTCCATCTTCAACAAGCAACGAGAATACCAAGTTATATTTATTACTGTAAGGGAATGAGATATCGGTTGTTGATTGACGACGTTTTAATGAGACTAATTGATCCAATTCGTCTTTAAAGACCTGTTCAAACAAAGCTTGTTGAATTGAAGCATTCACATCATCCTGTGGTCGTAGACTTATATCAATTGTCCTGTCAGATGTTTCAACTTTGGTCGACTTGGCATCTTGGTGTACGTTGACAATATACCTTGCGTCTGCCTTGTCAACAAATTCGATTAACCAGTTTTGGGCCAAATCAGGGTATAGCAGATCAAACTGCGTTCGTAGACTATTTTGATCGAGTGGTACATTCACATAAATCGGTATCTTAAACTCCATAGTTGATAGATCATAGCTATTGATTTGATCGATTGGTAAATCGGCACGATAGATCGATGTAGTGTAAACGAATAGAGGATACCCGATTCCAGCCATCATCACAATGACAGCCAAGGTTATCACTTTCCGAAGAGACGTGATTCTGGGAGATTCCTTGGACTTGTTCATTTTGAATACTAGGTGAATGCAGAGTGCTGCTGTTGGATAGTGATAGTAGTTAGTTTTTATGTGTCCAGTCTTTTTTTTTTTGTTTTTTTGTTTTTTTTTTGCTCCTCTTCAATTTCGCAATCTTTCCTCTTCTTCATACTCTTGCTTCTTCCTATCGTATCCATACTTGTAAAAGCTCCTGTCATGTTCAAAAAGCCACCTCAAGTGAAACCAGCAGCTAATATAAAGTCATCAGACAGGCGGAAACTTTTATCCACAGTATGCAAAACATATAATCTCCCCATCGATGATATTGCCAAGGAAGGGTTAGACAACCTCGTGCCACCAATCAGCAAAAAGGCCACATTTACATCCCCAACCGATAAGAAATTGACAGGGACGATATATTTCGACTCGAATGAGATCCCCACTTGGTTCCAAACTAGGGATTCGCAATTGTATCCATCGTTATTCACGTGTTGGAAATGTCCATATATCTTGCCCCTTGTGAAGACGCATGAGCCCGTGATTGGAGTATTGGGTAAAGGAGCAGATTTGATGTTGCCCGGTACAATCCCACCATTTGATGACAAAGCGGTTAGGGGTGCAATTGTGGGTATTGTCTCCAAGGAGAAACCAAATGTCATCATGGCGGTTGGTGTTTGTCGGTTGAATTTGACTCAATTTGATTATGTAATTGGAAGGTCGGGTATGGCCGTGGAGATTATCCATCATTTTGATGATGAATTGATGAAGTTGAATAAGGAGATTGACGTGGTGGTGCCAGATGATGTTGATGCAAGTATACCCAGAGTTGCCAAGGAGAGTCAAGATGAAGAAAATGAAGAGGCAGTTGATGAGGGAAGCAGAGGCACTAAAACGCAAAATGAAGCAACAGCCGTGGGTGTGCAATTGGAACCTATCGTGTCTCAAGACACTGTTGAAACCAAGACTGCCATTGATGACGTTGCTCAAGAATTGTCTCAATTGACAACAGAGGAAATTGACAATTTCTTCATTCGATCACTTCTCCAAACTATCAAATTGGAAACTATTGAACTACCCATCAACTCATCAACCTTTATGTCTTCATACATTTACAAAAACTTGCCCGCACTTGATCCGGCATACGCCAACATCAAAAAGACATCATGGAAAAAGACATCCAAGTATCTCAAGGCAATGGCCAAGTTATCTTATTTGGATGTCAAGGGCAAAGATGAAGATCTATCAATTACCAAATTGATGCCACGTACAAACCCCACAATTGAAAACTTCGTGCCTCACAAGACCAACAAGGCAAAGAAGCCAACGTCAGCGACAACAGGATCACTGGATTCCCAAGGCAACGGCAGCGGCAGCGGCAATGCTTCATCCATGATGAAGATCACCACATTGTACAAACCGACTAGCAAATCACGCATGTTTTTCAACAAACTCAATGCCGAATTTGATCAATTGTACACCTTGCCTCAACTCCGCATCATGTTCAATGAGTACATCAAACTGGCCAATTTGGTCAACCAAGCCAACCCCAAACAAATACTCATTGATGAAATTATAGCCAAACCCACCAACAAACCCATCAACACCACGGTTGCTCGAGACGAAATATTCAACACGTTTCTTACAAATTTCACTCCCCATTACTCTATCCAACCCCCACAAACAACAACAACAACAACAACAACAACAACAACAGCAACAACAAGCACTACTGACCACGGACACCACCACGTAGCTAAGGGTTCCCCACCCAAGATCCGTATAGTTACCGAGATGAAAATTGGCCGTAAAGTGATTACGCGTGTGGGAAACTATGACAAGTTTTTCATCAAGCAAGGAGCGTTTGCCGAGGAGTTGCGCAAATTGTGCTCGGGGTCAACTACTATTGTCGATGATGAGCAGGTGCAAGTTCAGGGTCCGCATGGGAATACCATTATTAATTTGTTGAAGGAGAAAGGTGTGCCTTTGGGATGTATTGAGTTTGAAGATAAGGTAAAAAAGAAAAAGAGAAAGTAGATTGATGCATAAGTGCCGGGGTTGTGTGTGTATGTGTAGAAAAGAAGGGACATAGTTTGGGATAGTGTACGGTTATATCCTTAACATTTTATTTACATACATTACTTTACTTCAAAAACCCCTTATTCAAAATATCAACAACTTTCAAATCACAACTGCGAATATACTCAAAATTGTTCAATTTGGAATGCGCAATGTTATTGTTGGTGCTGATGTTGTCACCACTTGCCGTAACTGATAAGAGTGGCTGCGATGTTGATGATAATGATGCAGTAATCGGTGGCTGTGTTGGTGGCTGTGTTGGTGGCTGTGTTGGTGAGTGTTGAAGATTTGATGAATGGGACATCAACGAGAGTGCAGGATACAATTGTGGTGCAGTAAGTGCGGTTGTGGTTGAGTGTTGTGCTGACGGTGGACTATACTTTTGCTGTAAGGAATCTTGAAGGTTGGTGTATGTGGAAACTGCTTGCGTCTGTTGCTGTGAATATGGATTTTTCTTCAACTGGCTCTCCACACTATTCAAAGAGGATGATGGTGATGATGATGAGGTGGGATCAACTCTTGGTTCTCTTGTATCTATCGACAGCGTTGCAGTGGTTGGCTTAAAATTGGGATAGGTAGTGCCAGCTTGGCGAGTTTCTGCTACTTCTCTTGTTCCAGGTGCGGCAAACAAGATGTGTGTAGGATAAATATCTCTTGAAAGAGTCAATTTTTTCAACTTTGGATCGTGAGAAGGTATGCACACAATGTAACCATCCTCGTAATCTTCATCTGGCTGTTGCCGGTGGTGTTGTAGTTGCAGCTGTGGTTGCAGCTGTTGATGTAGTTGTTGTTGTAGTTGTTGTTGTGGTTGCAACTCTTGAGAATCACTATGTGAGTGATCTCCTAGTTTGCGTTTCTTCAATGTCCTATTCCAGTCGATGTTGTCATGACCTGGAGTAGACACAGAGGATATGTTGGCTGATGGAAGTGAAGAAGACGACGGTGATGATGGTGATGATGGTGATGATGCCGTAGACGATGATGATAATGATGAACTCGAGCGAGCAACGGTTGCTGTTGCTGTTGCTGTTGCTGTTGTTGGTGCTGTTGTTGTCGCGTTGGTGGTGCCATTAGCATACAATTGCTTGAGTTGTTGTTGTTGAAGATGAAACTTTGGGTCATTTGGTTTATTCAACTGATAATACGAAATCAAATGGTATCGTTGACCATCATTGGTAGTCAAACTAAAAGATTGCTTGACCAAACCATAGAATTCTGGTTTTTTCGTAACTCGGTTAATTTCTCGATATTGTAGGAAATTTCCAAACAATACTTTAGAAGCTGACCATAATTTACCATCGGTCCATCGCTTCATCCCACTTCGTGTTTCGTTCCACACAAAGATGCAATTTGGTTTTATAAATTTAACTCGTTCATAAGTGGTTAATCTTCGATCTATGGTGGGTAAAATATTGAGTCTGCATGCTTCTACTAGCAAAAGGGCGTCGTACAAGGTGTAAACTCTGCCGAAATAAGTGACGAGATTCAAGGGGGTGGTGGAGTTGGTAGCTGGTGTGAATATAGGAGCTGTTGTGGATTGCACTGGTGTTTTTGGTGTTGATGATGCTGATGCTGTGGGTTTTTGTTGTTGTTGCTGTTGCTGCTGAGGTTGCAGCTTGTTGGATTTGCTTTTGTTATTAGACATGATCTCTAAAAGCCTAAAAACCTTTTATTGAGAAAGAAATACTCTTGGTTAAAGACTGTGAAATTGTATTTGGAAATGTTGACAATACGTGAAGGTATTTGAGTAGTAGTAGGTAGCTGCTAATAGTTGTATATATCTGATAGTTAAAGTTTTGTTTATAGGAAAGGTATTGTGGAGGAGGAAGGAAAGACTAATAATATGATGAAGTTAGCTCGATGTTCTCAAAGAAAAGATGTTTTAAACTTTTTTGTGGAGGGTGTGTGTGTGTGTGTTTATTTGTTTATTTGTTTAATTTTTACAAAAGTTGGTTGTGGGTTTTGAAATTTGATGTAAAAAGTGAGCTAATTATAGAAAGAGAGAGAGAGATGGTTAATTATGTATATATATATATATATAAATATTATGCTAATTTAAATTTTAAAGGTTAAAATTAAGGTTAAAGTATTGTGTAATATTCCTTTTCTTTTCTTCTTTCTTTTTTATTGTTTCTTTGTTGTCTTTCTTTTCTTGAAATTTCTTTTTTTTGTTTTTTTTTCGATTTTTATTTTTACTTTTATTTTTTATTTATTGGCCCACCTTTGTTTTCTCTGTCTTTGTAGTTTATTGTTGTTCCATCATAGACATTACGGAAGGGATACAGAAGAGACAGTCGTGTAGTCACTCCAATTTCAAAGACACATACTTCCACCCTATACTGTCTACTACTGTATTGTATATTGAGTACTACTATGTAGTACTAAAAAGTCTGTTTAAACTGTAACCCTCTCAAAATGGAAACAAGAAATGAGAATTGAGAGACACATTTATTCACTCACTCGATACCATCTCACCCACGTTAGTAGAATGACAGACATGGTGATTAAACACACACACATATACAGTATTTTTACTTTTGTTTCATACTAAGACGACATAAGATTTCAAACCAGAGCGACATAGATTTTCATACTAATACGACATAAGATTTCAAGCCTTACTTCTAGTGTCACCTATTGTAAGGGAACAACTGGAGATTCAGTAACGTCAGTTTGGTCCGGTCCATGAAAAAGGAGTAGCAGCAGATTCAGAGTCAGTAACTCTAGCAGAAGACATGTTATATATATATATATATAGATTATGTAATTACCTTTGGCTAAGATTTATTTCTTAAAGATCAGAAAAGATCAGAAAAAGATTATACACGTAAGAACAGATTAAGATTGGGAAATTCAATTCCTAATTTATAGTGTAGATGAAAACTGCGCACAAGGGATGAAACACCTTCGTGGCCTTGCTGGCAACAGGACTCTTCTCTGAAGTTCACCAGTGCAAAGACTAATAATATATATACACTGGTTGTCATGTAACGTATGCAACACATCCCCACATTCCTAAGTAAACTTGAACACACACATACGTGACTTCTCCACCACACGAACACCACGACAACTCTTTGTTAGATTCCTTGAATTACCATACTTCAACATATAAATCCATTTTGAGGAAACTCTTTGGACCAAAACACTGATGGACCCTTCTTTTACATAATTGTGAAAAGAGCACCCAATGTAATTGTAGTTTCCTAATTTTGTAACCATGTAGCTTGATATATTGCTGCAAAAGTCCCCTCGCAGTTAAACCCAATATCAGTGCATCATAACATGCAGCTTCTTGACTTTCCCATTGAATTGCTTTTAAAGGCTATTCATCTAAAAAAGCATCTACTAACTTTTCCTGAAGATGTGGTACTTTTGTGTTTAAATTTGCTATCACAAATTGACCAATTTGCGTATGAAAAATCTTAAAAACTTTGTAAGCACAAAAGAAGTAAAGTTTGGAAATTTGGAAATTTAGTAGAGAGTAAAGGAAGGGTCGTGTACAGGTATATTAATATTTGTGTATGTTTCTCTTCCTCCTATTCAGCTATAACCAACTTTATCTCTATCCAATCTATACAATACTTCTTATCTATCCATATATCTGTATATCCATTCTCTTGTTCGTATACACTCCCACTATTGCTATGCACTGAATATCTGCTATATTCACTCCCCTTCATACCAAATTTCCAGTAGGGTGGGTTATTATTGTCGTATGGTGTACATTTCGTGTGTACTTCTGTTGTTACTATGTAGGCACAAAGTGCAATTCAAAATATTATTATTATTATTATTATTATTATTATTGCTGTTGCTGTTGCTGTTGTTGTTGTTGTTGTATGTGTATGGTTAAAGAGTAGGTGCGGAGTTAAATATATTATAACAGCACCCTCTCTGTATACTTAAAGTGAATAATTTTGCTGATGATATTGTGTCTGTGTGCGGATTTAAACTTACAACAAAACTAAAATTTTTAAATTTTGTTGTTTGTTATGTTTGCATAGCTCTTCAACTTAACACAATCACAAATACTGATCTGTTGCTCATGTTTGTTGTGCCTCTTGCTACACTTGTCTCATAGTTTACTTTTACTCTACATACACCTACATGTGTGTTGTACGTTAAACAATATCATGCTTCTTTTTTTAAAACTCAAAAAAAAACAACACTGACTACAGATACAGTTGAGAGTGGACAGTTCTTGAATTCTCTTTTTTTTTTATATATTTTTTTCTTTTGCTTTTTGTCTGTCTGTCTGTCTGTCTCTCGGTCTCTCTCTCTGTCTATTATGGGTATGTTTTACGTTTCTTTTTATTTATTTTTATTTATTTTTATTTTCTTTTTGTTCTATGCATAAGTAAGTAACTACTGTTATTTTATTTGTGCTGTATCGTGTAATAATAACGATGTTTAGAATCCAAAATCACGGAAATACAAAAAAACTAATCCTGTTTGCTTTTTCAATTAGTTTATCCTTTATGCAACGATGTAAGGTGCTTCTAAATACATGTTCCTGTAGTACAACTGTCTCAACGTGAATGTTATCTGTTGCTACATGGTGTTATGAGTTTAACGAATAAAAGTTATAGCACCAACAGAAAAGAAACAACAACATCCGCGTGACTAAAATTAGAGATTAAAGTGTGTGTAGAGTTTCCCGCCTCCAATAACCTCATTTTTTTCAAATATCTTTTGGTTCCTTTGCTTTAATTGCAAATTCGGAAAATTGTACTACTCAAAGCAAGTTCAAGACATACATGTGTTTGTAAATTCTAAAGGAAATACGTGTACTGTGTCCAATTTAAAGTTTTGTTACTAATTTACACAAAGTGTGGAAAAAGAGTAAATATACTTGTAAGGGTGCGGCCAGTGTAATCGATTCTCGAAAAAGAAAGGGGCACGTCCACTACTCCTCCTACTTGTCCTATAACGACGTGTTATACCGCGACTCTTGGTTCATTGCAATATATGAAATGTATGCGTTTCACTGATGTATCAGCAGAACAAAGACAAGAAACTGTCTTTTAAACCACAGCATTTGTCTTTCACAATCTTGCGAAATAAATACGAATTTGTATGACTTTATGAAAAACCTTCAAATCTTCTACTAAAAGAGTGGCGAAACTCATTTCTACGCATCTAAATCTACGTAGATGCTACTTAGAGGACAAATGTGTTGGCACCACTCTACTCCGTCCTTGTGGTTCCTCCAGACAAACACGTGACCCACAACAACTTTTCACGCGACATACCGAAAATTCAAAACTGAAACTTAACTACTACAACATAGTCTAAAGCTTAAGCAAACTCCTCAATATTGTATACGCCAGTGTGTTTACGTCGAGAGGAAGTCCTTCCCCTCCCCCCCTCCACAAGTACTGTTTTCTTTTTTTTTATTTTTTTTTTTAAACCGCTTTGTTCTTTACTATCTGTTTCCCTTCCCATCGTCAAACTATATATACCCCTGAGATAGAGAGAACAGACGCGATTCAATTTACAGGACGTGCACTGTTGATCAAAAAGAGTTTTTTTTTTTTATTTTTTCTTTCTTTCAATCACAACACACGCCAAAGTACTGACGGGGACTTATTTTACAACCAAAGCATTTATCAACCACTAGGCCATTCCTTGTCAATAGATACACCTTACATCACCATGAACTATTCTGTTGACAACAATGTATCCTCGTCTGCATTGAGAAAGAGAAAGATTCTCAAGAAATCAATCAACTTTTCTGTTATGATTGTTGGAGAAAGTGGATCAGGTAGATCAACATTGATTAATACTCTATGCGGTGGTAATTCGATTGTACCTACTTCGTCAACCAGAAATGAGGACCCGTTCACCAAGAAATTGCACTTGAGACACGAGAATGTTGAATTGGAAGATAATGATGGACACAAGATTAGTTTCAACATTATTGACACCCCCAACTTTGCCAATCAAATCAATTGTGGTGAGGATTTTAGAATTATTGTTGATTTCATCCGTCATCAATTTGACGAGGTCTTGTTGGAGGAATCTAGAGTGAAGCGTAACCCTAGATTCAAAGATGGAAGAATCCATGTTTTGATTTATCTTGTTAACCCCACGGGTCATGGATTATCGGAAATTGACGTCAAGTTTTTGAAACATGTGAATAACTTGGTTAATATAATACCTGTTATTGCAAAAGCTGACTCATTGACTAGAGATGAGTTGCAATTGAATAAACAATTGATTTTGGAGGATTTGAACAATTATGAAATCAATTATTACAGGTTTAACGAATATGAATATGAAAAGGAGTACATCGATGATGAAATTATCGAATACAACAAGTATTTGAACTCGTTGTTGCCATTTGCCATAATTGGAGCTAACGAGTACAAAAAGAATACCCATTTAGGACAGCATTCGAAAAATGGAGAAACTAATCACCCTAATGTAGCAAATGATGACGACGACGACGACGAGGAGGATGATGATGATGCGGAAGATATTATAAAGTTGAGAGTCTTGAACAAGGATTTGAAACCCATCAATGTTGATAATCCTGATATCAATGATTTCACAATTTTGAAAAATGTTTTGTTAATCACCCACTTGAATGAATTTAAGGATATCACCCATGATCAAATTTATGAAAATTATAGAACTGAAGCCTTATCGGGAAAACAATTCCAATACATGAACAACAACAATTCAGATGACGGAAGTTACAACACATACAACAGCAGTGCCCACAATATAGCAGCAGGTGAAAGTCAATATGGTAATGGAAGTATTGTCAACACCAATGGAAATGGAACAAATGGAAGTCATCATCGTCACAATAACTCACACGGATCGCATTTCGATAGATCCATAAATGGTAATGGCACTGATGCAGGTTCCACTGCCGGAGGCGGCGGTGGCCAATCTGACTACTTGCTAAAGGAGGAACAAATCAAGTTGGAAGAGGAACGATTGAAGAAGTTTGAAGAACGTGTTCATCAAGATTTGATTACCAAGAGACAAGAACTATTAGAGAGGGAGAATGAATTGAAAGAGATTGAAAAGAGATTACTTGCTGAAGGATTGAAATTGAATGAACACGGAGAAGTGGTCAAAGTTGAGGAGTAGAAGAAGAAAAAAAAAATAAAATAAAAGGGGGTGAAGGTGGTGGTGGGGGTGGAAGTGGGGAGAGCATCGGTTCTTGTTGTTTGCTAAAGTTGCAGTTTTCTAGGGTATATATGCACTTTCTTTCTTTTTCTTTTTTTTGACTATACATATCGCTTTGTTGAATGGCAAGAGTGCAGAGTGTATGAATTGAATTGTTCTCTCGTCTTGATTGAGTAAGCACTCTATGACTACAGTAAGATTTTAACCCCTTTTAACAAAGTGTGTTTACTAAATATTCAAAGAGCCAGGATGAGAGGGAGTATGTAGACATCATGAAATGGTGACAAACAAATGTCTAAAGATACGAATTACCGTCCAAATAAATTACAACTTCTGCCAATGACATAAACCTCCCCACCGTAATCTGACGTCTTTGCCCTGTTGCGAAATGTCACCAGTCTTCAAATGCAGGATCGGTTGAGATCATTCACGTTAACGGAGCAATCCCGTGATTGAAATGCGACAAGACAATCACTCCTCAATCGAGCAGGGATATTGGCCAATTTTGCAAAAGGGAATGAAAAAAAAAAAGATGATACGTATTTTCCAACTAAAGATTCAACCATCACTCTTTAGGACGACCATTTGCAACAGGTTATGAGCCAAAGTAGTACTGTGTTTCGCAATAGTACCTTACCTCAAAAGCTCTTTATCATTTAGCAGGTTATGAGCCATATGGTGTACAGTTTGAAGAATAGAAAATACGAAAAAGTATTGCAAAAATGAGTAATCAAATATCGCTCTTCGATGACAACTTTTATATGTGAAAAGCATATTTGTTTATTGAAGCCTGGATGCATTGAGGCTTCTCCTCCTCCTTTGTACGTTGAAAAATGTCTGCATCGAGCCACTTGAATCCATCATGGTAAGGCTCAATCCTGCAACTTTTATGGATTCCCGCAGCCGAGAACAAAAGGGGGAGTGTGTTGGTAGCGGTGATCACCACGTCAGTGACACTAGCTACTTATAGACTACATTTTACTTTTGCCGAGGATTGGGACATACACCCGAACATGTGCAATCAAAAGAAAGAGCTTATTCATCCAAAAGTTGCTACCTACTAGTGACGCCTTTTGAGGATCTACAAGTAGACACTGCATGCTCCTGGGGGTTGTTCAATCTTTTCAAGCAAATTGACTACATATAGATTAGGTAAAGAGTGTTGAGTTTAGAACCACAATGGTTACAAAAAGTAAAGATAATAAAACAATAAAAATGCAAGGAGCAAAAAAAAAAAAGACCCCCCCCCCATATCTGCTAAAACATACAGATTTGATACACGTGGGGGTTTGGGTTTAGTATTAGAGTGAACTTTCTTACTTTAGAAACACAAATGCTAAAGGCTGGCTCTCTTCAAAGAAAATGCGTAGAAACCAACAAACAGAGCACAAAGAGAACTACTACGTCAAACTAAAACAATTCAATCGTCAACAAATTAAAATTTGACACAGCGCTCTGAGGCGTGTGGAGCTGTTTCTTTCGAGGGTCTAAACACTTTCTACTTTGCTCCCCCCCTGGATAATAATATATCAGCTTATCTCAAACTATTGTAAATGATCGACACACATGTATTAAAACACACAGATTTCTATTGTGTCTCTTACACTTCGAGAACAATAGTTTTCCTTTACTTCTGAAATTGGATTTTGGTTTTGTGTTTGCTTCTTTCGGCTTTTTTAGTTGAAATATTGATAGAATTGAAGCCGTATTTAAAAATAGTTTAAGGTTGTAGCGACTGACCGACCAAGTACCAGGAGTGAGAGCGAAACTGGCTGAACTGAATGTGAAAGATTGTAGCACACTCCTAATTGAAGTGTATCAACCTCTCAACGATGCGGATTTACAGAAGTCGGTAGAATCATGTGCATATAAATATAACCGAAAGTGGATTAAAAGATTGTCAAAACATTTTAGCCGTTTATGCTTTTTAATCCATTTCTGGAATTGCCAATAGATGAATGGCACATCAATGGTGATATGTTAATTAATTTGACAATTTTAAAAGTATTTAAATAGCGCCACATGTCTATAATGGTTTAAACTTTTGTATTCAGCTCTTTCAACACTTTATCATGCCAGCATCAACAAAATCGAACTTTTGCATTCAGGCTCAGTGGCAGTCCACAGAGTGCTTAGAGGGCACAAAAAACATTACTGCTTTTTCCACAATGGATTGTCCGTACTTTATCACTAAAAGCAAAAAGGAAGTGGCCACTTCCGGTGGAGCATGTAGCACAGGGGGCATTGACAAGACTGGAAAGTGGAAAATGCTTTTGATGATGGTTTCCTTGATTTCAAACTTTGTTGCTGGTGTCGCTACATCAAATTTCGAAAAAAAAGACGTTGCCTGTATTGGAGCTAGAGACGTAGTGGATCCGCAACAACACAAGGCACCAGACGGACAAGTTTGGCACACTTTTGAAAAAACCGATCATGCGTTGGATTACATCGAATCGTTGTACTTGAATGGAACTTTGTTGACCGGAGTTAACATTTACTGCAATGATGATCAAATTGCGTTGGAAGACATTGAAGTAACTCCCGATGACAACGTTGACGTAACCAAAAGATGGTCCTGCTCATCTGCACCACTTGGAACAAAGTTTACACAACGGAGAGTAGTTGGTAATGATACTTGGTGGACACCATGGGTAAAAGGCGATTGTGCGTACAACAAGGACGACAAAGAGGTGAAGAAAACCATCACGTGGAAAAACTCCGTCACTGCCAATATAAGCCACGGATTTGATTACAAGCTTGCTCAGAAATATGCTGCATCTGTTGGCATCAAAATTGCCAAATCCGTCAAAAGAAAAGGATCTCAGGTTGAAAACATTGGTGCAAACGATGTTTTATCCATCTGGTCTCAAGTACCAGTGTATCACTGTGAGCAACAAACTCAAAAATGTGTAAGAAAGTCCTACGCGAAACACGGTTGCAAATGTGGCCATTGGTCTGATAAAATAACAGGAGACCTTCCCATAAAAACCGATATTGTTAATTTAGGTCTCAGTTCTGGAGCTGATGCCCAGTGTTAGTGAACAACATGTCGTTAGTTTGAACTTAGGGTTGGTTGATTTCCATTCCTGTTCTCTAGTGGACAAACTAAGAGAATCGTCATACCACAAAACCCTCTCCATCGAGCTACTAGTCTTGTTGCCCCACAACTCTCAACAAAGTAAGATCGACGTTACATCGTGACCAATTCACCTACAACAAATCTGTCCCCACATGGACCCTCCACATAAATTTTAATATATATATACATAGATATATATTTTTATTTTTTATTTATTTTTATTTACGTCATATGTTTTGTTCCCGGAGTTTCAATATGTTCTTTTTTTTTTAACCCCTGGTGCATATTCTCTTCCATTTTACCCTATTTATTTCCCGTGCCGACGCCGACGCCCCCACTCAATTCACATTTACTAAAAGAAAAAAAAAACAAAAGAAAAAAAAAAATTTCACTGTAAGTTAACACAAACCAAAAACTACAACAAGTCGTATAAACTTACCTTGCTCAAAAACTGTGTGTTGGGGTATTTCTTTTTGGGGGGACTGTTGTTACTACAATAAAACAACACACAATAAAACATTCAGCAAATGCATCATCAGATATATATACATAAAGAAAAAACAACAAAACCATCTATGCAAGTGAATAAATATTTTCCCATTTTCACCTTCGGACTTTTCTTGAAACTCCTTTTTTTTTTTTGTTTTTTGATATCATCAACTTTGAATAACCCAACTATCAGATACAACATACAGAGATGTCGTCAACTTCATCACAGCGTTCAGCAAAAGAGGGCCTTCATTCGGCAAAGGATGACCACCACGGCGTGTCACGAGTTCACGTTCACGGCGAAGGAGGTGAGTATGTCACTATTAATGGCCAGAAGTATTATCGTCATGAGTTGATGGCAGCATTCGGTGGTACGTTGAATCCTGGTGTTAGTCCATACCCCCAAAACAGAATGAATCCAGCGCCAGTTGGATTGTCTGGGTTTGCTTTAACCACAATTGTGTTGAGTTTGTTCAATGCACAAGCCATGGGTATTGTTGTTCCAAATGTTGTCGTTTCGCTAGCTTGCATGTACGGGGGAGCACTTCAGTTCTTGACTGGACTTTTGGAATTCGCTACTGGCAACACCTTCGGTTGTACTGCTTTGACCTCATATGGTGCATTTTGGATAAGTTATGCAGCCATCTTCATTGAAGCTTTCGGTATTGAAGAAGCGTACCAAAAGGATGCCTCACAAATGGAGAATGCCGTTGGGTTCTTTTTGATAGGCTGGGCTATATTCACATTTGTGTTGGTATTGAATACACTCAAGTCAACAGTGGCGTTTTTCAGCTTGTTCTTCTTCTTATTTATTACATTTGTGTTATTAGCTGGCGGCGCGTTTTCCGGTCACGTTGGTGTGACTCGAGCTGGAGGTGTTTTTGGCGTCATTACTGGGTTCATTGCGTGGTATAATGCATTCGCTGGTACTGCAACCAAAGCCAATTCTTATATTGTTGCCCACCCTATTCCGTTACCTGCTTTCAAAAGGGATTGAAGTGTCAAAGTCTAGTCTTGTACTCCATTTGTATAGCGTTTTATAGTGGAAGTTAAAATAATTATTTATATTACTGGATCAGACGTTGAAGTACCTCCTTTGGAAGTGTATTACATCAAAGTGACAGATTTTTTAACAAAATTACGCTGAGTTGTACGTGTCGCAACTATTGTCTTGAAGTTTACGACAATGATTGTATGAACGCAAAAGACTTCTGTACCGATCACATACCATCTCTGTATATAGCCACATATATACATCGGATAACTAACACTTTCGTACTTATCTTAGAAGTGAAGGAGCTTTCCATTAAGACATCACGCCGAGGATATGTTAGCCATAGAGCAAAGACTAGGGAGGTGAATCACGATACACAACATTACCCTGAAAAAGCAAAAAGAGAGCCAACTTAAATATATGGCTATACCTGAAAATATAGATAAAAAGAAAGTGTATTTAGATTTCCCTAAACAGTTTGATATTTGGCTACAATTGCATCAAAAATTGCATTCTTTGACTCTTCATCCTTGATCAAATCATGCCCAGCATCGACTTTCTTCAACTCTGTTAACAATTCCTTAGTTCCTTGTCCATGATTAACCAATCTATCCAATGTTATTTGATTTGCAATCAAATCGGCACTCTTCTCAGTCGTCAAAGTTGTGATTTGGTCCAACACTTCTTGGGCTTCAGGGTAATGTTTCAACTGCAATGTCAAGACTAACAACACGGTCAAGTTGTGGACTTTACCCTGTACATCATCATCACTGTAGCCATTGCTCAAAATTTCATCATAAAGAGAATAACTGTTGTTGACATTGTCAGTTCCATTTTGAATACTGATATACCAACTTTCAATTATTTGGTAAATGATGTTGTCACGGGAAAAGTCTGGAAACAGATTCAACACTTTGAAAATGGCTGTAGCCTGCTTGAAGTTTCCCTTGATGAAATACAATTGAATCAAGATCAAAAACACTTCAATTTCATTATACTTTTGTAAATTATTCAATTTGTCAATGTAACCAGTAAGGAAATTGATGCTTTGGTCAATATCTTTGGCAAATTTAACCAAGTAAAGTGAAGTCAAGATTGCTTGTAATTCAAAGTGTGCTTGTTTCAAATCTTCAAAATGAGTAGAATCATCAGTGCCAAAATCATGCAAGTCGTTCCACGCTTGTAGCAATTGGAAAAAATCCTCGTTGTCAGGGAACCTACTTTTACCTTGCTCAATTAATTGTGAGGCATCTTGATTTAATGCTATTGTTGATCTAATTTGAAATTCCAATACTTTCAATTGATTTTCCTCAGAGAATTCTTCAAGTGAGTAAGATTTGACTTTGTTGTGTTGGTTGGTGTAAAATTGATATCTGATGGTGTATAATTCACCCGAGTCGGAAAAGGCGTCCATCGTGGAAGGAGTTTTCAATGAATATGCACAGCTCACAGCTCACAAATCCAAATTTTGTTGTCAACTTTGAAAGGTCGAGAGATTTTTTTTTTATCAAATAGTGATTTGTGCGCTACCGTTGATTTATTCTACGCGTTAATGTTTCAAAACACTGACCGAAATGGCTCAACTTGGTACTAGTTCACTATAGACAAAACTCCTTGCTCAATCGGGCTCTACTTACTACCTCTGATTCTGTCCCACGCCGATAATTGATTGCGTGAGTCCTGGGAATCAGGTTCGGATACTTTCTCATTAGCATTTCCAACAAGCGAAGATTCCTGTGACTGTTCCGGCCCCCCCGGCCCTTCATCTTCGGTGACGTCAAAGCCGTTGGCCAATCTAATCTTGTCCCAATGGGATAAATTGTGGTGGTCGTTTAAGCCAACTCCATTGATAACGTTTGTACCTTCTCTTTGATGAAACTCCTTCTCCTTGTACACTTGAGGATCAAAACTGACTTTATCGGGACTTGGTTCAACAACTCTTCTGGTTGCCGGATCCACTGTCACCGTTCTGGGATCTTGTAATTTGTACTTTGGATCCTTTGATGATTTCAAGTAATAGTAATAAAACGCACCAATATTGTGCCATTCCATGTGCTTCCAAGCATTCAACTGAGCTCCACTAAGCTCACCACTGGATATTTTGTCATTGAAGCTCTTTCTTTGCACAATTGTACTGACAGCAATCATGTTTGCGAGACCAAGGAAAAATGAAAGGAAAGGTTTCTGAATAAATGAAAGCTTGGATGGGGTTTGTTTCTTGATTAGTCTGTAGTATATCGTGGGTGTGATAAGACCAATCATACCGGCGGAGTAGCCGATGAGATTGTTGGAAACAAGAACCGATTGTAATTCCTGTTTCAACTTCTCTCGATCCTCTGGGGTCAATTTGCTATCGGCCTCATAGAAGTCAATGCTTGCTTGAAGTTGCTGAGGGGATAGCCGGGATTTCAAGTAATTGTATTCAGTGGGGTTTCTTTCGGCATCGGAATTGCTCATTGTCGATAGAGTGAGATATTTTTTGTTCAGTGTGTTTTCCTTGGTCTTGTGGTGGAAGTAGAGGCCACTTTTCTTGACAATTTTGTCGGAAGAAGAGCACAAAATGATTTTAACCAAAGTTTTAAAACAAATCTCTTTGCAGAATACAAACTATAATCTGTTGTTCTACTTACTGATATCACCACCATGGTGCAATCTCAATCTATCCCAGACGCTCAATGGGTGTTTTTGACCAGTAGAGTCAGTATGTCCCAAGCCAAGGCTGTCTGTGAAATGGCCAGATTGCTTAGCATCAACTAAGGCTTCATCGGAGCAAGTTCTTGGGTCCCTGATGATGAACATTGGATTGAAGCTTGTTCTGAGGTAGTACAATGTGTAAGCACCAACGTTTTGGTACTCCATATTCTTCCACACGTTGGCGACGTTAGTATTGGGGAAAGACGATGGAGTCTCCTTGGTCTTTTTAAAGAAATACTTTCCTGAGTAGTAGTTACCAGCAACCAAGGTACCAAAGCCAAGAAGCAATGAGAAGAATGGATATTGGATCAAAAAGAATGGAGTTGGGGTGATGAGTGGCTTTTTGATAAGTCTGATGTAGACAGTTGGGCCAAAGAATCCCAACATACCCGAAGTATATCCAATAAGATTCGACTTAATTGCTATACCTTGTAATTGCGACGCAATTGTGACTCTATCGTTATGATCCAATCTCTGGTCAGCCTCATAGAAGTTGATACATTTTTGAAATTGGTCTGGTGTTAAAATATTTTGCAATGGGTTGGAAGTAGACATCGTAGCAGTAGACGAGCACTTAGGTGATTTGTCGGATTGAAAGAAACTCGAAAAGGATATCTATATGTACTTAGATTTGAAGCAATTGGAGAATTGGAAAACTTGAGGAATTTATATGGTCGTTTCTGAATGCTTCTAAGAACCGGGAGCATGCCGAAAAGTGCGGGATTACGTAAATCTAGGTTTGCTCACACAGGCGCACAATGCACAAACACTTAAATGCGCAAGAGAATTTTGTTCTAGTGTCTTCTTTCGAGACCTACAATTCATTCTCCAATATGAACCACTTAACTAAGCCATTCCTATTCATCTATCTACCTACAATTTATTATCTGATCTCTTTTCTTCTCTAAGTTTGATCAACAGTTTGATAACTGAGTCAACACCAACCATTGGATTCTTACCCTGCTCTTCAGGGATATCTCTGTTTCTAATATTGACACCATAGTTCTCTTCTTCTTCAGCCCCAACAATGAAAATGAAATTGTATTGCATCAATTGACCAGATCTCACCTTCTTGGGCAATGTATTACCACTGACATCAACATCACAATAGAAAAAGTGTTCATCGTTAAACAACTTCTTCAACTTTTCAGCATAATCATAGTACTTTGGACTAACAGGGACAATAAGGATTTGTCTAGGCGACAACCAGAAGGGCCACTTACCTTTGTAGTGTTCAGTCAAAATAGCAGTCATTCTCTCCACTGATCCCAAAATAGCTCTGTGAATCATAACTGGACGTTCAGTCGCACTATTACTTTCTGATCTGTATTCCAATTCGAATCTTGAAGGTAATTGGAAATCGAGCTGAATAGTTGCACATTGGAACCATCTTCTCAACGCATCACTAATCATGATATCAATCTTGGGACCATAAAAAGCTCCATCACCTGGGTTCAATTCCCATTTGCCTTTACCCAAAAACTCATCCAAAGCACTCTCCAACTTCTTTTCTGCTGCATTCCAAGTTTCTATATCACCAACATACTTTTCAGGTCTGGTTGACAATTCCATCTTGAACTCGAAACCGAAAATGTCATACATCTTTTTCAACAAGTCAAAGACACCTGCGATTTCGGTACCAATTTGATCTGGTGTACAGAAAATGTGGGCATCATCTTGTTGGAAACGACGAACTCTTGTCAATCCTGATAATGCACCAGAAAATTCGTTTCTGTGAAGAACACCAAAATCGGCAACACGCCATGGCAATTCACGATATGAACGTTCTCTTGATTTGAAAAGGATACAGTGTCCAGGACAATTTCCAATAACAACGGGCTTTGAAGCGTTGGTAATGTTGCCATCAGCACCACGATGCACTCTGTGAGCGATGATCAACCCTGTTGGAACTGTAACACACCAGACTCTTCCATGATACTCGCCAACAGTCTTTACTTCGGTGTTTGAATTCAAGCTAGTCTTGGCAAATGCGTCAGAAGAGGAGCCAGATTCATCAGCAACAACGAGGAAACCGTAGTCTGCATCTTTTTGAACTAATTCACGAGCTGGAACCTTGCTGAATGGGGCTTCGCCAGATTGTGGGTTTTGTTGCACATACATGTCATGGTCTTCAGTAACCAATAATGAAATTCCGCTCTTTCCATCAGCTTTGGCAAGATCGTAGTTGGAAAACTCCACCATTTGGTGATTGGCTGCATCCTTGACAATAAAGTTCGATGCCTTTGAGTATTTGATCAGTTTGGATTCTGGATCATAAGTGGCAAAGTTGACGTCTTTCCAGTTGGACTCAATCTCGCTCAAAAACAAAAATCCTTTATCAGTTTGAATTCTCATATCTTCACTCAAACAGTTCATAGGCTTCAATCCAAATGTCTCCTTTTCAACTTCAAATGAAAACATGTTTTCTTTATAGTTTTGCCAGTGACCCGAAGTCTCCCATAATTTAGTTGAGTACATGTTTGGGGTAATGACTTCTTCATATCCTCTCTTTCTGTACTCATATCTCAACGTATCAACCAAGGTGTTGTAGATCCTGGTACCGTGTGGTAACCAGATTGCTGAACCGGGTGACACATCGTTGAAATAAAACAATTCCTGTTCACGGCCAATTTTTCTGTGATCTCTTTCAGCAGCTTCTTTCAAAAACTGCAAATGCTCAGTCATCAACTTCTTATCTGGGAATGAAATACCGTAAACTCTTTGCAACGAATCGTTCTTGGCATCACCGAGGAAATAGGAACTTGAGTTTTTCAAGACTTTGAATGCTTTGATTCGACCTGAATGTGGAATGTGTGGACCAACACACAAATCAATCAATGGACCACATCTGTACACGGTTGTTGATGTGCCATCCGGAATTTTATCCAGGATAAATTGGACCTTGTACTTGTTGTAATGGAACATCTTCAACAAATCTTCCTTTGTCATTTCCAACCTTTCAAATTTTTGTTTCTCCTTGATTGCTTTTGTGGCAATGGTCTCCAAACTACCAAAGTCAGCTTGGTTGACAAAAGTTGTTCCATCATTGATTGACATGTCGTAAAAGAACCCATCATCAGTTGGTGGACCATGAGACAAGTGGCATCCATAGTGACATTCACAAGATTCTCCCAAAATATGTGCTGACGAATGCCAAAAAACTGCCTTACCTTCTGGATGCTCAAAATCTAAGAACTCCAAGGAAGCATCACCTTCCAATGGACGTGGCATGTCCCAAAGGGTGCCATTGACCTTTGAAATGACTTGTCTTTCAGCAAAAGATTTACCAATCGAGTTGGCAATATCCATTGGTGAGGTCTCATACGAGGTACCTTCTTTGACACTTCCATCCTTCAAGGTGATCTTGATAGGCTTCTTCTCCCTAGTAGCAATTTCTGCGTCATACTTGGCCTTCAACTCGTCAAAAAATTTGATCCTCTCTTCAAGGAAAGCTGGTTGAGGTTCCAAATACAATGGCGAGCTCGATTGTTGCGATTGCTTCTTATCCTTCTTTTTACTTTGTCCTTTGTTATCTTGTCCCTTGTTATCTTTGACGGATAACTTCTCGACTTTGTCGGCAACTTCAGACATCTTGACGCTTGGTGATAATTGTAGTCGTTCCCTTTTGAGTCACCAGGAAATGAAAATTGCAAAGACTTTTTTATTTTTTTTTTTTAATCTTATTTTTTCTCTTCGTTCCACGACTGAAAATTTTTGCAAAAATCGACTTACATAAGCAAAATATGGTCCGTTTTTATTGCCCAGAGGTTTCAATGAAATACTGAATACATAATACAAACGTATGAACTGACTATATATATATATAAAAGAAAACAAAGCCTCTTAGGGGCTATTCGTAATACCACACACTCAAAATGAATCTACTCTTGTTCGGTAGCCTTCTTCATTCTCGCAATTTTGACCAACGGGCTCAAACTCTCCACATCGTCACTCTCTAGTATAAACTTATCATGTAACAAATCATCAGCAGTAGCACGCTTATTGAAATCAACTTGTAAACACCACGATAAGAACCTGCGAATGTCGTAGCTCAATGCTTCTGGCTCTTTTAATGTCGGAGTTCCATTAGTTGCAATAAGATACAATGCACGAAGCGGAGTTTCATTCAAATAGGGTGGCTCACCCTCAATCATTTCAATCACCATGATTCCCAATGACCATATGTCAACTTTTGGTCCATACTCTTTTCGTGACACAACCTCAGGTGCCATCCAATAAGGAGTCCCCACCATGGTTGTACGCTTCAAATTTAGTTCATTGATTTGAGCACAGAATCCAAAGTCTGTCATTTTGATATTTCCATTGATGTCTAGCAAGATGTTATCCGATTTGATATCACGGTGAATGACGCCCTTTGAATGTAAAAACTTCAACCCCTTCAATGTCTCTCGGCAAACTGCACCAATTTGCCCTTCTGTCATGACACTGTGAGTGACAATTTCAGTCAATGAACCACCTTCCATGTACTCCATTATGACCCATAAATCGCCTTTGACTAAATACGAGTCAATATAGTTGACAATGTTGGGGTGTTTGCTACCCTTCATAACCAAAATCTCATTGATAATCAATTCTTTCTTTGGCTGTTGCTCAAGGTTCATTTGCTTGATGGCAACGGTACTGTTGCCGTGAGTAACATCATGCGCTATATATACGCCACCAGAAGCTCCTTGTCCTATTTTAAGCAAATCCACATACAATTCCTTGGGGTCACCTTGGGTACATATGCTTTGTAGCTTGGAGATGATTTGCTGGTTTTTACGTTTCTTTTCCTCTCGTTTCCTCTGCTGGATAAGAGCTGCTTGTTTAGCATCACGAACAGTACCTCCAGATGATTTTTTCAAACCGTGGGCAGGAGCAGCTCCATTGGGGTCTATATTCAGTGAGCTTTGATCAGCTTGCTCTTGCTTCTGTTGCTCTTGCTTCTGTTGCTCTTGCTTCTGTTGCTGTTGCTCTAACTTTCTCGCCTGCTGTCTTTTCTGAATTTCCTCAAGGTCCCTTGCCTTCTGCTCCCTCAACCTCTTTTGCGCTTCTTGGAATTTGCTCTGTTGACCTTCTTTTTGCGCGGTCGATGCCGTTACATTGGCTAGTGCTTCCTCTGGATTACTGCGAGGAACGGGAACTGACTGGGATACAGGTGGCGGAGGGGGTGCTCGATGTGCACTAAATTCATTCTTTCTTTGCTTTGGTACGTTCAAATCATCAAATTGTGGAGTTGGTGCAATCGGTGCTGTAGTAGAGCCCGTAGAAGCAGGCTTGATTCTGTTGGACAAAGACGCAGAGTGTGACTTTGATTTAGGAATCTGCGATGTTGGAGGTGCTGGTGGTGGTGGTGGCGGTGGCGGTGCTGGAATATTGTTGAACTTCTCAATGCCGCCATTGGTTTGCGCTCTCAATGACTTGACCGATTTCTGCGACAATGACTTGTTTTCCAAATAGGATGGCGAGTTTGTTTGTTTTGGTGGTAACACACGTGGTTGTCTTGGTGTATAGTCCAACCCCAGTTTCTGCGAAGTAGGGGTTCTACTAATGCTGTGTGCTGATCCTGGTGTTGATGGTGGCTTTGGTGCCGGCCTGCTGGGGATGAAATGAGATTCTTGTTGCACTCTTGGTGTGCTTTGCTGTGATGTTTGTTTTTGAGATCTGGAATGAGTTGGCGAGACCCTGCTCGGTTTTGCGTTTTCTGTGTCACTTTCAGAGCCTCTTTCAGTTGATGCCGTTGACATCCTCTGCGGTGATTCAGTGACAGGAGTTGCAGGCGGCGTGCTCTCAAGATTTTCAGAACCGCTTGAGTCGCTCTTATTTTTGTTAACTGTAAACTTTTGGAATGCATGATCATCTGCATGTTCGTTTGAGTCTTGATAAAACGCAACTATATCCATCATAGCCTGGGGGTGTTGCTCTTGTTCTCGTTTAGTAATTCCACTGGCGGCTAATAACCTTTCCCATTCAACTGGTAGTCCCGTATATGAGCCATCATCATCTACTCCCACATGAGCAACATGCTTTGCATTAAAAGGAGTGCTAATTTTCATATTGAGTTCAGGAGACGAAGGAGCATTAGCCGAAGAGGCTTTGCTCTTGCCAAACATTGAGGAAAAGACTTCCCGCATCTTGTTCTTGTTCCTTTTCTTTTCGGTTTTTGGTGACTGCTTTGGGTAGCTAACACCCATTGACAAATTTGGTGATGGAGCAGCACCATTTGAAGAGTTTACCAAGGTTGGCGTGGTAGATGCCGTCAGGTAAGACAGGAATTTTGTAGTGCTAGGTGGTACGGGTGTAACTGCAGCTGTTTGATTATGGACTGTTGATTGGTTACTTATTGGAGCCTGGGAAGAAGAAGATTCTTCTTTTGGTTTTCTAACAACTGTGGACGTTGTTGACACGTCCCGGCTTCTATCTTCTTGCTCTTCCAGATTCATTGGTGGGGTGCGGTTGAATTGGTGCTGGAAACGTAGTGGGTTCATTGGAGGGATATCATCAATATTTTCGTTATCAGTCGTGGGAATTCTATCCAATTCATCCTTCAAGTTCGGGGAGAGTGCAAAATTACTCGAGGAATCATCTTCGTCACTTTGATTCAAGTACTGATTGATGTCAATTGATGGCGGCTGAGTAAAGTGCATTGGCTTTCCAGGATCCAACGTTGATTTATAAACTTGCAGATGATTGTCAACTTGAGGGCTTTGTGATTCGGTATGTGCATCGTGATGCTCCTCTCCCCCCTGTTTGTCTTCTCTGTTGTAAGATGCAGTCAGGAATGCTGAATCATCGGGCGAAGTCTCTTTCTCTTCTTCGTCTGTAGCTTTTTCGGCAACGGAGTCATCACTCTTGGTCATATGATCCTCACTCTCACCTTCTTCTTCGATTCTCGTGGATTCGCTCAATGCTAGATTAGATTCTGTACCCTTCCTACTTAGGTCTTCAAGCACGCCTTGTCCAATTGAATCTTTGCTTTCGCTTTTATTGATTGTTTCACGCAATTTGTTGTATTCCTCTTCCAGCTCACCTTCTCCAGTTAAGGCACTGACATCAAAAGTTCCCGGTACACGAAGTGGCATTCCTTGCGACTTGGTCACCTCATTTTGGTCTTGTTCGGGGACTTGCTGATGAGGTTCGTCGTGAATTGAGCTCTGAAGTGCACTCTCATCATCGATACCACTTGCATTTTGCGTTGGTGCTGGTATTTTGTCATTCTCTTCGGGATCTGAGTTTGCAAATTTTGATAAATTATCCTGCATGGGCGACCCCAAACTCAAGTGGGAACCATTGTTGGACAAGTCCAAGACATTGCTAGGTTGTTGTAATATGGTCTCGGCCTCAGATTCTGGCGAATGAACTAGACCCAGTGACAGGTCGTGTGTTGTGTTATTTGGTTGCGTATGGCTTGCGGCTCTCGAAACTTCCATTTCTTTGGGCTCTGATAGCAGTTGATGGTCGGAGCTCATACTTGATTTAGGGATGTTAGCTCGAAGGAAGACTGATTAAATGAGCGTGCAGTTCAGATAACAAACGTAGGCTGTTGGAGGATATATAATGGGGATTAAAGTAAAATACAGTCACAGTAGTTACAGCTCCTGTGTATTGTTATAAGACTCCAATGGACAAACGAATGTAGATTTTCAACGTTAGTGACAATTGTTTCGATATAATTTGACTTCAAGTCTTGGATTTGTCCTGATATAGTTGTTGTTTGTTTTGACACAGTCTCTTGTGTGTGTGGATTTAATTTAATTTAATTTGAATTTGAATTTGAATTTGAATTTGAATTTGAATTTGAAGTTTTGTTTTCATTATGCTCTCTTTCTCTGTGCGAATAGAGTTGTACTGACAATTATAATACTATATGATAACACATAAGTCTACACCCTCAGTCCCTACTTTTTTACAGTTAGTTATCAATTATTGAAGCTAGCACAATCCCAATCCTTGCCGCAGATATCACGGAGTAGTATCGCTTTTCTGATGTATATCTTGACAACTCGTTTCAATGAATCTGGCATTTTAACCAAAAAGGGTTTCCCACTTCTCTCAAAATCGTGTTACATCCATACACCAATACAAATCTCCAGATTTTGAATTAATTAATTCTTGTGCACAGTACACGACAACGTCTTTGTATCACTTTTTTAAAAAGTAAAAAATAAAAAAATAAAATAAAAAAAAAAAAAGGAGAACATTGATCCAGCGGATAAAGATTGAAAAGATGTACTGTGACTATATACGTCTGTTTGTAACTGAAAACAACAGTTGGAGATTGTACAAAACTAATCAATTTGATGAGGAAGAACAATGCATTAATATGTTCCATTTGTGGCTTTTTAACCATAATCAGATCTAAGTAGCCGTGAGTGTAAGAGAACACAATGTCATTGGCTTTATAAATCTAGCCCCATATGATTATCGTTTGCACAGCTTGAAAACTGCAAACATTTGCGACTCCCTAACATTAAAAGCTAACGATCGTGTCCTCCCTGTGTTTATATTTTGAGGACGTGTAAAAGTGGCTAATGATAAAAGCGTTCTTTTACGATTGTTTTTGCATTTTGACGCGAATTGTCGCAACACGTCTATTCTATTTTTGAAACAAAACATTGCAAAAAAAAAAAAAAAAAAAAAAGAAGTGCTGCAATTGTCTACCATCGACAACTGTACAAACTCTATATTTACACATATCTCTATAAACAAAACACGAACCTTATCTCTTCCGTAAGCCTGTAACTTCAAAGTTACCCACCCCTTCTTCAAAAATGTACCGATTCCTCACTAAATACTCCTTAACATACCGTCGTATAATGCTGACACCATTGACTGAGTGGATTCCGCGGCCAGTGATTAGGAGTAAATTGTTGACAAATACAGCAGTATTACCATACAGGTTCAACTTCCCATTCTCTATCCGTTGATCAACTTCTTCTCGCCACCATGCATCAAGCACTTTTCTTGTCAATGCAAGTGCTTCCAACGCTGTCTTGCCATGTAAATCAATTCGAGAATTGGCAACACATGTACTGATCTCTTGAGTCGTTGCAGAATGCTGGGTTTGAAGTGGCGAGCGTCTGCTTTTGACCGAATACCCTTGAAAGCTTTTGGATAAGTCTTGGTATACGTTTCCCTCGTGGTTCGTAATAGGTCCACCTCTTGTCGATATGCGCTTTGCATCCGTTTTCATACTCAGTTCAAGAGTTGGTAATCCTTCAAGACCTCTAGTGGACAATACTTCGATCGCAAACTGCAACACTCTATCACAATCACCCTCATAAAACTCAAGTGCATTAGTGAGGTCAGATTCAGCCAATTGTTGCAATTCCTCGTTGACGAGGTACATATGTTGAAGCTCTGCACTTTCCGTTCTACTAGGGTCGTATTTGTACGATGAAGGGGTTAGGCGATACTCCTTTTTCACTCTTGGCGCACTTTTTGATCCACCTCGTTGCACACGACCTCCAATACCCCTGATAGTCACCTCTTGGCGCACTTTAGGTCGACAGTTTACGACGATGCTTTTCAAAGTCGCGCTATAATCTTGGTTGCACTTGTGTATGTGAAAACTGATCTCGTCGTCCTCGAGAACGCGTTTGGCCAGGTCTGTACTGCTCGCACCATTATCAATATCGAGAAACTTCTTGAGTCGAGTCATCAATTCATCATTATCTTGCCACGCATTCAACCGAGAATTGTAACTCTTTTCAATCTCAATTGAGTCTGGGTCAAGTAAGTTGATAGAAGCAGCATCCATCTGGCCTTTGTTTTGGATAAGAGCTTGCTCAATTAATGACGGGCTGAGATGTGGAAATATGTCCTGCAACTGGCACATCTCTACAATATACTTTGACAGTTGAAGTTTTGACTCAGCTTTGAGCGGTTTTCGGTACCATGCTAACCTCAGCTTCAATGCATCTTCAGAGAAACTCGATTCCACCAGACCAAATGGATCCTCTTTTCTGAGGAGACCCTCTGTTTCTAGTAACTCCTTTTGCTCGCTTTCAATAAACAACTCCTCCATTAGTTGATCTACATCATCACAAAGTTTCAATCTTATTTTCAAATCAGTTTTTGAAAGGTGCGGGAATATGTCTGACAACTGTTCGACTAAATTGATGAAGTTTGAATCCAAGTCACTCTTGTCGGTAAAGAATTGGGCATATTCCAGCTCGGTGGTGAGGTTGCCATCTTGGCTTGATTTGGAGCTTGTGGTCGATGGTTTTCTTGATATATTTGTTGAACGCAGTGTTGCTGAGTTAGATGTTGTTGATGTTTTTGACGAGCCGTTTGCAGTAGTACTAGTAGTAGTAGTCTTGTTTCCATTAAGCAATGAGACCGGAGTGTCTATCTCCTTTCTCGTATCTTCAAATTGATCTTGATCCTCGACTGACAACAGTGTTTTCGCTAGCTTTTCGTTCAAGTTTTCCATGGTAATGGCTTCTGTTGGATTGGGGTTTGGGATATATGTATGCATACATTAACTATCAGCTGAGAAGATTGTTAATTATTGTGAAAGACGCTATTGTATTTAAAGATAAACTAGGATAGTGCTGGGGTTTGAATCTGCTGAAGAGAAAAAAGGAGAAATTCCCAGTGGTCACAAAATTAAATGACATAAAAGACTGCAAACACTTGCAACTATAATCAAGCAAAGACTAACCCATTCTTATCTATAACAGCTATACAGTATACCAAATCAGCCAAACCCTGCCCACTCGATAGAAAAACACATGGGCCCATCATCGTCACTAAACAATCTCTCCAAGAATCCATCATCAACAGAGACGACATTTTTATCTTCACTTTTCTCCTCCCCTTTCATCTCCATCAAGATCATATTCTTCTTTACACTTGTGGCTAATCTCCCGCCTACTATGATATCATACATATCAACAACGTCAAATTTCACGATTGAGTAAGAATGATACCGTAATGGATCTCCAGGATAAATCACCAAATCACCACCAAACTTCAAGCCAGGGTTAATATAGTACCCATGATCCTGCAAGTATTTGTAATACTTATAATGTGTGACAAATTGAGCTAGAATTTCACCATCGCTGTCCTTAAAATATGTAGATAAATATGACTTGATTGGTACTTCAAAAGATTGAGCTAGACTGGTGTCGTGGAGTGATTCGCTATTCTCAACAACTAAGATATTCTTTGCTGTTAGATTATTATTCCTAGTTTTACCCTGAAGCTGTTCCTCTTGGTGTTTCAATTTGGCATCTCGATACCCTGCTTGATCAATTAAAATTGCATATCCATGTTGAACCAACCATAAAGCCTCATAGACATTAAGCTTCAACGGCACGGACAAAAACATGTTTTGTTGAGGGTAGTGTTGTAAAGTACCAATTAGTACACCCAATATATGATACTTGTTGCGTAGTTGTTTTATGTCATCTAGATTGAACACAAGAATTTCAGGCTTCGAAGATGGGTCTATAACTGGTAAGTGAATAGGATGTGTCAGTGGCTCTTCTAGTGGTGCAGGGCTCGCCAAATATGTTACAGTGTCATTTTCCATGTTGGTTATTGTATCATCTTGTTCATTGAACTCGGAAAAGTTATGTAGATGAGTCGTGGACCTCTTTTCACCGTGCACGTGAGTTAGGATCTTGCCATTTCACACGACTTTCTATTCTCCCCTCGCCATTAAGCTACTGTCACAGTTTATGTTGAAAAAAAGTCACAGCAAATTACACACCCAACCAACTTTGAGAATACATAATCCTCTGAAAACCAGGTCGTATATACGAAGTGTGTTTATCATCTAATTTGGCTATATCGGTTGCGACTCGTTAATTGAAGCAATCAAATGTTCTAGATTTTGATTCGGCTTTAAGTGGTGAGGAGGGCTTTTAGCCACCGAAAATGATATCCATGATTGTTGATTAGCAAACATGGATATAAACTCGTGTGGCTACCGATAAAATAATTCAGTCAGCAAAACATACGTATTACGATCGTGTTTCAACACAAGTGTGTGGTATCTTTTGAGTTCATTAAAGCTCAACAAAGTATGCCCTTCACCTCTGGACGATGGATTATCCTGAAGAAAAAAAAAAGGCCATCGAAATAAAGTTGAAAGTCGTCTATGGTGGATTTGTCACTCATTATGCTCGTATATGTACCGCTGTCAATAATAGTTATGTGTGGTATTCAATCTGTCACTATATAAAGTTAAATATTGCGCTTATTTCAGCGTTTGCTGAAGGTGTAAGCTTGTAGCTCTATGATTGCCTTTACAGCTCACTCAAGCACTCACCATAGCTTCCAGTAACACCAACTCTGAACAATTCGTTTTTGTTTACAATTTAGGCGTTGTGATATATAGCAACTCCTGAACAATAGTAACGACATGTTTATGATCCTCCGTATACAAATCAGCCTTGATCAAAGATCTCTCATTGCCAATCCTCTTCATCCTCACAACATACAGAAACCACTGATCAATATCAAAATCATCTTCATGGAAATACACATTGTGGTCAATGGAGGCTTCAAATTGGGGCATAACTTTCACATTCATATGCGGCAAGAGCAATTCAGTACCTGTCCAATCACTCAATGCAGCAAGTGCTGCATATTTATATTCTGGTGTCATATTTACAACCTCTTGGTGAAACTGTGAGTCGTCTTTAAGGCCCCATCTCAAATGATACGCATAGCTATCTTTATCCTTTGGCTCGTTGTAAAGTCTTTGACTTATGAGCAAAGGCAATACGGAGCTTGTCAGTGTATTGTCCTTGGTGGCTTGCGTCGATATTGTCTTTACCGGTGAAACACTATAATCCAATTGTGTGCTATTCTTGTGACCAGTTTTCAAAGTTGAGTTTTTGGTAGTTAAGGATACAACTGCTGAGAAGACAACAATGTTGTTCTGCAATGCAAGGACGTTTCTTGTAGCAAATGACTTCCCAGTGGATACGTCATCAATCTTCCAAACAAGTGGACTCTCTTCATCCACAGCTTTCAAGAAATACGAATGGAGTGAGTTTGGAGTGTATCCTGGAGGGGCAGATCTCATGGCCACAACCACACATTGCGCTGCAATGTTTCCTCCATATACTCCTCTAGATTCCTTCCTGGGTTTTTTCAATGGTGCAACGCCACGAAATGTGTGTTTGTCTATTTCAACAACATCAAACATGTGCTTTGGATCCAACGGTTGTGGTACTTTTTTCGTTTTGACATTTGACATGATTGAGATCAGTTGTAGCTGGCTTGATCTGATGAAAGGGGGGGGTTGCCAATTCGTAGTCGCAATATGCTCATGTGGTTGTCGTCTTTGCTTCAATATTCTCGAGTCAATATCTCTCTATATCCGCTTGCGGGGTCTCCTGCCACAAAATTGGAGCTGCTAACGCTACCTGGAACACGGCAGTCAAACACGAGAAAGATGCTCGAATGCTCTACTTGTTTCAATGCTATCCATGGTTTGTTTCCTTCCACCGTTCTTAGAGGATTCTCTAGCAGTAAAACAAAGCGTATTGAACTAGGTTGCAGAGGGGAATTCTTTGTATACTATGGAATCGCATAAACGAAAATGTGCCACAATAGTAAAGACCGAAACTTCTCTCAAACTACATACTACCATCATCTATATCGTCAATTGGTGGTGGTTTTTTTCGAACTGTTTTGGATCGACTTGGCGAAGTAGGTTGAGATAATGCGACAGTAGGTTCCGCCGATAGCAATGTGCTTAAATCGTCATTCTTGTCATCACTGCCATTAGTTCCAGCTCCAAATACCAACCCAGGGTCCTTCGACTCGTGGGCGGTGTCATTGGCAAAAGTACCCACTTGTTCCACACTTGGCGAGTTGGGCATGTTTTGTAACGACTGAGCAAATGCAGTCGATGATGCCAATTGAGCAGCAGTAACACCACTGTTTGATTTAGAATGTCTCTTGGGAGTATGTGTTTCGGAATTGCTTCTTCCAACGATAGCTGAAACCAATGGTGGCTCGTTCATATATTCAGCACGAGCGAAATTGAATGATGGTGACCGGATTCTTGGTGGTGAAGACGAACTTTTTGGGGGCTGTGCGAGAACAGACAGTGCTGTTACTGGAGCCGTGGATACTGCGACTGGTGTTGTATTTCCTGCACGCGCACTGGCAACTGCGGTTCTGTTTCCACTTCCACTTCCATTTCCATTTCCATTGCCATTGTGATTATTAATAGCACTCTTATCTTTCCCCGATGATGACACACTTAAGGACTTGCGACCTCTCCTATTCGAAATCATTTCTGGTGGATGATAGGTTTCCACTGATGTGGATCCAATCACAGGAGATGTGACTGCCAGCGACGTTGTCTTCACAGATGCCACAGTAGCATCATTTCCACGACTAGAATGTTCTTTGTAGTCGTCTTTAAAGTACCATTTCCCAATTCTCTTTAGTAAGCCATTGCTAGCTGCACTATTACCATCAGCGGTAGCAGCAGCGTTGGGAGGACCCCTACTTGAGGCTCTTGTGTTGTTTGTTGTTCCGGTTGTGGGAAACTCATTCAACAGGGGTGAGCTGGACTTGTTTTTGATCTTTTTCGTAAAATCATTAAACGTCGATCCCATTCTACGTAACGATTTTTTCGAATTGGACTTGAAATCAGACTCCGATAATTGAACCGATGCTTCATCAATCGTGTTACTTTCCGAAGTAAAGTCGTCTTGGGAAACGGCATCATCGGTTTTTACCAGCTCCTTATCCTCATCTGAACCGTGTTTCCAAATACCACCACGATATAGCTCATGTTCGGTTTTGAAAAACTCGATATCATCCCAATATGGCATAACCAAGCTTTCCTTTACAGCTTCCTTAAACTTCTTTTCAATTGAGCTGGTGATGAATGAGTAGTTTAAAGACTTTGAGCTTAATATCGGCTCAATTTGGAAATTCAAAGTTGGTTCAACTTCATAACAATACCAAAATCGATTGCTTGGTGGGGGTTTCAATTTGATCAACATTGGGCCCTCGAGGTTGACCAAGGAGATTTTCAACACCAAGTCAACTTCCCTTGAAGTAAATTTGGTGCCAAAAGTAAGGTCCAACTTGGTGGCAATTGTGATTGACAATCCTCCATTGTATGATACATGAGCACCAATGACTAAAGTACCATCCGGGTTGATCTCCTTCAAACTAGGGTATGTGAAAAAAGGAGCTGAGCTACCTGGTTGAATATCGGTTATTTGAAATTCATCAAAGAATCCAGGCTTTTTGATTTTGTTCAATTTCTTGCTAAGTTTGGTATAGATGTAGTTTTCAAAAAACTTGGTATTCTTGATAGCCAAAAACCATCTTCCTATCAATGCATTCATCCATTTGGTTTGCAAGTGTCCTTCAGAACTATACAATGCTTGTATTAAGTTGATCATTTCCTTTGTGGAAAAGTGTAACGTTCGAGCATGCGTTTGTGGACTTAGGCTTGCAGGTATCGATGATGAGGTATTTGAAGACTCTAACTTGGTTCCTCGAATCAAGGCAAAATACCAATCTTCCTTGTCACTGTTTGTGTCACAATAGATGAAGAAGCTTCCGCTTGGTGCTTTGTTAGACAGTTGATTCAAATCGGACAACTTGTTCACATTAATCAAAGCTATTGCTGTGTATTTGGTAAACAACAGCGGCTCAGGTAAATTTCGGGGCCAAATACTGACAAAGTAATTTCCCAAAACAATGACATGCTTAACATCCTTGACTGTTTGGTCTTTATATAAAAACAAGTTGCCGTGTTTTAGTACTCCGAAGTAACGGTGCTTTTTCAATGACTGTCTAATTTGATTTGGAGGTTGTTGAGTAGAGGATGCAGGAGGTGGAGGGTGAAGCAGTTGCTGAGTGGTGGTAGCGCTGCTGCCGACTCCCGTGGTGGTATTGGTGTGTTGTGAACTGATAGATGCAGCGTCAGTTATCGAAACATCATCTCTCTCGTCATATGCGTCTGAGTCAGGCTCTTCTGCCACTTGATCCTGTTTTCGTCTCTGTTGCTGTTGCTGCTGCTGCTGCTGCTGCTGCTGCTCTCGATTAACCAATTTGTACAAGGAGGATATGGCTGATCTATTTTCTGGGGACTCCGTTATTGAGGTGGTATTGCGATTGATTTCATCGGTGCTTTCAATATACTCATTGGTGACAAATAGCCACCCATTTTTAAAGCTCTCCAATCCTGATTGGTGTTTTTCTTCAATCTCTCCTGCCTTGATTGGAGTCTCCTCAATTTCTGGTTCGTCAGAGACATTGCGGAGGACGTATTGAAAGACGAAGGCAATTAGCAAGAAAGGGCTAATGAACCCAATAGCGAAAGTAAATAGAAAAGATATTAGTCCCATTGGTGCATGCACTGTGTGTTTGTATACTCTACTGGGTTCAAGGAGTATATCCGTTTGTCAAATTGCTATCCATCAAAATGTGGATGCGATTGACGTGTTTTGTTGCCAATAAAAAGTATTGTCGCGACAATTTGATGCTGTCGTGAAATCTCAAACTGTGTCATTACAAAGTTGAGAAATACACAACCATCGAATACAGCATTCATTCGATATCAATGTGGTCGTCCTTTTGGTTGTGGTCGAGACGATCTTGTTGGAGGAGGAATGGGAGTATCCACTGTGCAAAGTACGTGGCTCTGAATGGAGTGCATAAATACCCCCGCCCCCCAGCTAGGTTTGATGTTGTCCGTGCTGGTGAACATTATAAATCTCAGTCTGATTGCAAAGTAAAGGTACTCTAGTAAAGAGTAGCCATTATGTACGAAGCTTAAAGGAGGGAAACGGATACAAACAAACTGTACATACAACGGTAAAGTTAGAATATGGATAATTGCATACAAAGTCTCAACCTGGCCAGAAAAAGTAACCGAAATACGGAAAATACGACAGGATTTGTACAATCTGTACGACAAAACCAGAGATTTAGCCAATAATTATAATAACCGGCTATTTGCTGGCAACTGTTTTCCCGTAAACACTCTTTTTTGTGCAATGGGTCTTGCTTACTGCCCTTGCCAAATTTACCGGGTAGTACAAAGGGTCCAAACAGTATAAATATGAACGCAATCGTAAAAACGCCGCTTTTGCTTTATTTTCCTGCTTCTTTTGTTGTTGTTTTATGCCCGATAGAGCATATTGTTTCCAATAACGGTAATTTCAAAAGAGGGCCCCGCCTGCACAAGACTTGTTGGCCAGCAAAATAATTAAGTGAGCATCATTTTATTAAGAAGCTCAACAGTGGGGCAATATTAGTCTATACACGGTTTGGTTTGATTCGATACGATGGCTTTACCTTTTTCTGACCTTAACATAGGCTAATGATGTTAGGTGCTGGAAGCCGGTTACCATTCACACGACGACGTAACTTTGAGTTACAACGTTATGTCTCAGTTTACATTTGCAGACAATGCCACTGGTTGGAAAGTAAATAAAAATCTGGTATTGTTGCAGTACGTTAACAAGGGTTACAAAGATCAAAGAGGGACCAAAGAACCAAATTGTCACAGTAAAAGTTTGGCTTGGCCAGTGTAAACCTGTAAATAGAGAGAATAATCGTACAATTATATGGGTAACACAATGCTGCACTAAGCAACTACATCTATACAAACAGTAACTAACATAAAGACGTCCCCTTTTAAGCAGTATTGTGTTATTGTACTTTGTATACTAACAGGATGTCACAAATGGGAATTAGGAGAAGAGGTGGTAAGAAAATAGGAGTCTTTTTTCGGTTGGAAACGTATTCGGAACCGAAAATTGACAAACATTTACAAAATACAAAATATCTGGAAAATAGGAAAACTTTTTGACACATATTCTGGAAAAAAGGACTGAGATTGAAAATCGGTGCTCCTTTTCAAAGTCATGCATTATCAAACTGTTTAGTGATGCACAAGCGATTTCAAGATACTGAGCTGTACCCATTCCAACTTGTCGAAAAACGTCAAGTGCGCGCAGGGAAAAGTGTCACCTCGATGCAGTAAATCTGCTATATGTAACTTCCAAAACAGTGTCTCATATGGAAACAATACACTTGATTTTAAATTCTTGGACCAGCAGTCACAAACTAAGAGAATTACTAGAAGTAAGAGAACGGAAAGAAGACCATCAATTAAAACCCATCACATCACAAACGCACAGAGATATATATATATACTCATGCAAAAGCAAAACGTAAATCCATATTCTCTTGAATTTCCTTGTTGTCATGTGCCAAACTGTAAATGAAAAAAAAAAAAAGCTACATCCAATAACATGCATTGAATATGTAATAAATTAGGGATTTTCTTGCAGAAGCAGAAAAAGTAGGTTTTCCAAATGTTAGTGTATTTGTGTATGAAAAAAAAAAAAAAAAAATTTTTCACCAGTCTAAAAGTGAAACCACTCACACTGAACGGGATACAAAAGCGTGATATGTACAAGAAAGTGGCAAAACTACAAAATGGAATATGGCAAAATTCCCAAACGCCCAAACGCCAAACGGCCAAACGCCAAACGCCAAACGCCATTATCGTTATATAGAAAACAAAGGGTTGAAGGCAAACACACAAAAGTATGTGTGCACAATTAGTAAGACATTGCACTAGACTTTAAAGATTGTGTCCCACTTATTCAGAAAACTAAAACAAAAATGAAGATTATATTGCACCTACTATACAAATTTCTTAAAATAAAAGCGTATACAAAACAGAACTAAATAAAAAACAATTACAAGTGAAAAACTTTTCCTGATCAACCAAAGTTTTGAAATAAATAGAGCCCATCACCGTCTTGTGATAGCACACAACACAACAACAACAACAACAACAGTCGAGTCAATTGAATTGAACCAAAACGAAGCAGCCCACTGTTGTCCTGAGATTCATCCTCCCCTCCCCCCTTCAAAACTTCAAGAAAAAAATAAAAAGAAATTTTTGAAATGAAAAATTTTTCAGTGCTAAAAGTCTCCTTAACTTATTGTTCTTCAACTTTGTGTAGCAAAAGAGATTTATGTTTTTTTTTTTTTTTTTCATTTCTTTTTGTTATTTGTTTTCTTTTTCAACCTCCGAATAAAACTTCCCCATTTGTACACACACACAAACACACACACCCCCGGGAAAACTTGCACCTGCGCCAATATCCTTTCTCTTGTTTAAAGGTAGAAATCATTAATCATAAAGTTTCCAGTAGACACCATCTCACTAGTAGCTGTGTACAAACTGTGTTGTTTCAATGCATTGGATACATCTCCACCATTGAAGCTAAACCCATTTTGACAACCTCCGTTGTAAGTAGCATTGTTGCGTAAGCGCCAGTAATTGAAGTTGATTTTAGGTTTTAGTTGCCAATTGAACGACGATGTAGGGGTGGTGGTGGTGGTGGTAGTGGTAGCGTTATTCTTTGCATCATCTGCAGAGTACAAGGATGAGGTAGTTGTAGATGGAGATGAAATTGGGGAAACTGTCTGTGAATGAGGGTCCTCTTGATCTTCATCGTCACTGAGTGCCATAAGGCTGGACAAAGTTGCGGTTGATGTGCTTGACGAGCTGGTTGGGGGTACGCTCTTTGGTGAATGGCCACCACTTAATTCGTTTTCTCTCTCCTCTTCCTCGTCGCCATAAGTGAGGTAATCTTCAACCGAATACTCCTTCTTTGGCGAACCGAAATTAACACTCCTGAAAAATGGCACCGATGGAGAAGAAGTTGATGCACTATTGCTCTGCAGAGTGTGTGATGAGTGTGGTGGTGGTGGTGGTGGTCGCAGTAGAGAATCGCAAACTCTTGAATTGTTCAACAAGGCAAAGGAATCCTTGTATTGGTTCTGAAGTTTGTTTCTGTAGTATCTCCTTATATTGTCATTCAAAATTTCGGTAAAATTGACCGATGCAATTCCAATTGGCTCCTCTTCATCTTCCTCAATGTCGCTCCCTTCTTCCTCCTCCTCCTCCTCCTCCTCGTGCTCTTCTTTGCTGGGTTCATATGCATAACGTGGATGTGGTTGCGGAAGTTGTGACTGCTGTAGCTGTTGCTGTGACTGTTGTTCTTGAACTTGTGACTGTAGTTTTGCCTCTTCCGATGATGATTCTATAACCAGTAAGAAATCATTATTTGTGCTCGTCAACGAAAGTAATTTTTCAACTGGGTCAATCTTGTCCTTACTATGCAAGGCTTCCTCTTCTTCGATATATGATCTCTTTCTTCTCTTTGTAGTGTGTAATTTATGTGAATTCTGATCACCAGGCCTCTTATTATGCATACGTGGAGTAGTATTGGTGTTAGTTTGGGGTACTAAAAAGGAGCAATTGTTAGTTGATGATGCTTTAGCAGTTAAAGATCTGATGCGATTAGACTTACGAATAGGTTGCTGTTGTTGCTGTTGTTGTGTGGCAGCGTAATTGTTGGTAGTCATTTGTAAAAAAGGAATGTGTGTATTTGAAAGTGAAAAATTTTGGTGATAAATGTTATATGCCTTTTTTTTGTTATGAATATCGTCTAATCTGAAAAAAAAAAAAAAATAATTAAAATTTGAAGAAACTGTAGCTTGTATATGAGTGTGAGATAGCTCTAGGAATCTGTTATTGATGAAGTGAAAAAATGCAAGTGTACTATCAGTAGTATAAGTATATATGTAAGAAAGTAATAACCAGTATTGCTTATAGATGTAGGAAAAGTAGAAGGTAGAAATTTAGAAGGAGAAAGAAGGGGAAATTCAAGTACAATATATATGCCACTATGTATATATACAAATACTTGTGTAATAAGAAGAAGAAAATAAAAAAAGTAAAAATAAAAAAAAAAAATAAAAAAAAAAATTAAAAAAAAAAATTTTTCTTCTTCTTCTTTTTCTTCCTCTGCAGCCTGAGTTTGTGTAGCAGCAATTCAATCATACACAATAATAAAGCAGTACTCTAGTACTACTACTATGCAACTAACAGGTGTGTATTGAGCTTTAACACATTGTACATTTACGTTCTAATTGTGTAATAATTACACTTTAGTACACATGTACACTACCTTTCCACTTCTACATAGGAACAACAATCCTAAGACAACAACAAACCACTTGACTCACTCCACAAACAACAACAACAACATCAACAAACAGAACAACTGCTTCATATACAGAGACCTCAACAAGTAACCGTCATCTTTCACAGAGAATACTCGACAGTTTCTCATGTAGATCCCTGTCCATTTTTCAGGATTTGCAACTTTAAGAGATTACTCTATGTAATGTGTATAGACCACCTGATCCAATAGCAATTCAACAAGAGTAAGAACAAGTAAGGAGAGAAGAACGTCGAAGCTTTGCTGAGTGAAAGGGGGTGTAAAGATCTCATATGCCTCTCGCCAATCTCTCAACTACACTTTTTCCACCATATTCTATTATACTGCATCATTGCTCCAATCTTTTCTACTGGTTTCTATACAAAAAAAAAAAAAAAGATTCACATCCCCTACCTTCTAAACACTTAGATCCGGCCCTCTTTTTTCCCTGCCTTTCCGCCTTTTTTCCTCACAGACTTCATCATCAATTCAATTACGATCCAGACTGACAAATGACAATTTCGGGGAAACCAAACAAGAAGGTGAAAGATTGGGGAAGAATTTTTGTCTTTCTTTTTTTTTTTTTTTAACCTCTTTTGCTCACTATGAAGTCACTTGCACGAGAAATCTCACCTCTCCTGTTGTTACAACTAGAGGAATAGGCGGGTGTGTGTGTGGGAGGGGTGGAACAAGGGAAGTGCACGGTGTACTCATGGACCAGGTGAATACACCTTCTCCACCTTCAACAATCAGATAAAGATGGTAAGATTAGGAGAGAAAAAACAATAGGAAATGCAACGGAGAAATAAGAAAAAGAAACGTGATATATATATTTGGAACAATAAAAAAAAATAAAAAAATAAAAAAAAAACAGCAAAGATAAATGCGCTACCACCCACTTTTTGGTTATCTTTTCCCCTCTACTGATTTACGTTTGCTTTCCTATTGCTATCATATGATGGATCTCGAAGTGTTGTCTTTTTGCATATCCAATTACCTCTAGAAGAAAAATGTGACAGAATGAGTATTTTTTTTCACTCACATTCTGGCTTCAAGGTTTTTTAAGTTCGGAGTTTTTGATGCGCTCTTATGGGACGGAAAAATGCCACAAGAGAGAAAATCCCAAGACCTCAACAATTTGCTCCAATGTTTTACTCTTCAGCTTCGATGCATTAACATTCCTCTATTATTTACCATGGCGCTTACACAACTCGGGCTGTACGTTCAGTAAGCAGTAGACAATGTCAATGGAAAGTTCAACTCCTCAAAAAGTGAACAAAGAAATGCAACAACGTGCCTCCACAAAAACTGGTAGCTCAAATATGAAATTTAATCCATTGCACATGGTACGTACAATCTATTGTATGCAAATTTGTTCTTTTTCTTCTCTGTCTCTCACCAACTTAGTAGTTATCAATTAAAGAACGTTTTATTCTGCAATACAATAAGAGCAATAGCATTCTTGGTATTAACACTTTTACTCACATGTTTACACACTGTCTCCATACTTTGTAAAATTTCAAAATTATGATTGCGCTGATGTTATAATTCACCCTCACAGCTTCTTCTGTTTAGCCCCAATTGCACCGCGTCCCCCTTTCCCTTCTTCTCGATACACTCTTTTGATACTCAAAACGAGAGAAAACCCAGAGGTTGTATCCATGTCGAGGGTTGCAGTCTCTTCTCTTTCTCTTTTAAACTTTAAACTTCTTGCAATCTCTTGCAGAAAGATAAAACAGGATTGCAAAAATTACGAGAATGCAGAAAAGAGAAACCTTAAAGTGCAGTTACCTTATATGTGTGGCGGGGATAATAAGGCTGGGACATGTTACATTTGGTATACTTGATTACTTTGATTTACACTGCGTTTTACCTCCTCCTTGTTTCATCCCTCTCCTTCCTCTTTCCACATCTTTCTCCTTTCTCCTTTCTCCTTAGTTCCTTCTCCTCTTTCATATTTCAAAAACTCCCAATTGTTGTTCCATTTTATTTGTCTCTCTCTACACACTATAGCTTTACGCACTTTACGCACTTCAACGCCTCCTTCTTTTTAGTTTTATTTTTGCTATCTCTTCCTTCCATAGAGTGAGGCGCTTTATTACTTTGAAGTTGAAGTTCAATTGAAAGATAAAACACAACCGCTACACAATACATTGACTTGATTCTTCCGTTTACCACTTTGTTGTCAATGTTCTTTTCTCTTCTTTTCTGTTTCACGAAATAGCCCACGTTGTAATGAAGTACATGGTCTATGTTTTTGGTATAAACTTCCTCAAGTGGGTGAAGAAAGGGAGATACAAAAACAGAAAAGTAAAAGAGATTCATCCTATTGCTCATTGTGTAGCTCTACTTGTTTTCTACCAAGTGAGTCAGATTGTCGTGTCTAGTTTCTACCAGTGTCGAATTATTTATTATCTATAACGCCTCATTTTATCATCACTATAGAGCTTGCCAGTGAATCAGGGGAGGGGAGCACGGATATCTACCAGTGATTACAAACAAAGTCTTCCGTATACTAATTGTGTTGTTGTCCTTGATGTTCCATGTAGACTCCACCTTTGTGTCTTGTCTTTGTTCGCTGTTTCGGAATTATACAGAGCTTTGAGTAATGTTGCACCTCAGAATGGAGGAGATAAAGCGACACAATCTCTCTTCCTCAGCACAACACGTTGCAGTTTATGATGTAATACAGGACTTGGTAGGATTGAAGTGTAGTAGTTTCGCCTCTTACAGGTAGTGCCAACAGATTCGAAAAGAGAGGAAGGCACAGAAAACTCCGGAAATGTGAAGTTCGTAATCTTTTCTCGGAAAACACGTGCATTCATTCGATTTTCACCAAATACGTCATACATTTACTTTTTTGATCTAACAACGTGGTACTTTACAACTTGCTTACTACACTAAGCTTCATTTTCCATGGCTTGCTTGATAACGCCGATTATCGCACTACTTTGAATCTTGTCATTACCCCCCTTCGATATCCCATACTCCACCTCACTCAACCCTTTCAAATATTCAATTCTCGTTTTTGGTTTAACTTTGTAGTCATTGAGTATTTCAATAAACCCAGTGATCAAATCAATCAAAGCTAAACCCTTGTCAACTTTGTATCTGTTCAATGTCAAATAAGCAGTGGTCCAATCCTGCTTCAATACCGAATCCAAAACAGCTTCAATATCCTGGGGATGCGGAGCTCCAACACAGTTGTAAATCATTTCAATATCAATCGTTTCATCTTCTTCACACGCAGCTTTACATGCTTGAAGCACATTCAAACTTCGTCTCATATCTCCTTGTGACAAGTTTAGCAACGTATTCAATGCATCTGGCGTGATATTCACCTTCTCTTTGATTATGACGTTATCAATCCTACTACGTATTGCCTCTTCGTCAATGGGGTGGAACCTGAATCTGGTACACCTCGAAATCAAGGCTGGATTCAACTTGTGTGCGTAATTGGCCAATATACAAAACCGACAATTTTTCGTATACTTTTCAATAATTCTTCGTAAGGAGTTTTGAGCAACGCTAGTCATGGCATCAGCCTCATCCAAAATAATCAATTTAAACTGGGGCGACGAAGAACTAGCGAAAATCTGTCTTGTTGACGCAAAACTCTTGATTTGGTTACGAACAACATCAATACCTCGATCGTCAGAGGCATTGAGTTCCAAAACCATGTTTTTGTAGTTGGGTCCATAGATTTCACGCGCCAAGGCAATAATTGTTGATGTCTTACCGGTACCTGGAGGTCCATAGAATAGCAAGTGTGGCAATTTGCCCGTCTCGACAAATCTACGTATGGTGTTGACGATATCTTGTTGGCCGTACACTTCAGTAAGGTTCTCTGGACGGTATTTTTCAACCCTTGGAAAGACATGAGTTAGTATTGGCACGTCATTGAAAAAATAAGACCCTCTTCATCTTTACATACCATGGTAGGTTTTCCCTATACTTTTCAGTCATGTCTTTGATCTTGGATATAACTGATTCTGACGCGTATAATTTTCATCATCATTGGAAAATACTTTTTTTTTTTTTTTTCCCCCGCCCCTCCCCCACTCCGCTTTATGGCGTCTCTCTAATATGCTTGACTGTGCTCTATTATTTAATTTCTCTATATAACCTGCATGAAAAGAACTACCGATAGAAGCGCCCAATTAGCACCTAGTTTCAACCCCCAACTGTTCTTTGTAAACATCTTCCCAACATAATTACACGATGGCCATTGCGTAGATGTGTCTTCGTCCCAATAATAACTCAAAGCAATACTCTGGTTGTTGATAGGGCACTGAAATTGGAAATCAGCAGGACAATCACGCACAATGGCATGACATACATTGGCACAGGGCAATATTTCAAAATAATCTTCTGCCGGTTGGATCATATCCAGAATGAAATCGTTTCGCTGATTAGTACCATTGCGCGCTTTATAACCAGGGAAATTCGTGGCTGCACACCGCGGGATGGAAACGGCACATAACCAATCTTTATAACTATCGGCACAATCGTCACACGTCTTGACATTCGAATAAACTGATTCTGGATTAGTATCACATGCAACTTGCTGCAACGCTTTGGAGAAATTCTGATACAAACTCTTGACATAATTATCATAAACCATCTTTGTCATATTCTTCACTGCGTCGGATTCATCAGTCCGATTACCCAATGCTGGTACACTATAAGCAACTCGATCACAAAACTCCAAATCATAAATCAACTCACACGCCAGACCCGCCATCGTTTCAAACTCAATTTGATGGTATATAGCCCCACCAAATGAAGTTCCGCTGAAATCAGCCACAATGTACCCAGTGTATTGAGTCAGCTCCTCCAAATTAGGCACGTAAAATTGCTGTTGAATTCCCCCATTTCTACTAGTGAATGAAGTCTCAATATTCCATGGGCCCATCATTGCGTGTCCCGACCGTATTGCACACCAACTCTTGCTCAACCCTTCGAAAATATCCTTATCCTTATATGGATACACATAAAGTGAATACTGCGATTTGGACGCATTCAATGTCCGCCAATCCCCGCCAAATTCCGTGAGATTCTCCGTGACTAATAATGCCAGTCTATCATCGGCATCTATAATCGAGCCAAATGTTCGATTATCCCATTGGAACACTAAATCGTTTTGCGAAACACCAATTTGGTACGTCCAGGTAGCTGTAAGATTGGTATTTTCGGGGGCACGTACAGCGATATATAAAACTCGCTCTTCATCATCACCGCTACTGCTTTTTGATGATGATGGTATTGTTGTGGCTGATGCTGCTGCTCCAGAAGTTGCCAACGACGTTCCTTCTGTGGTTGATGTGTTGGGATCGATCGGCAAATCCGCCAATGCTTGGAAATACCCATCCTCAAACAATTGCATTTGTCCAACTTCGTTATTTTGAAACATTGTCGAATTGAAGGAATAATACACTGCTAGACTTGTGTTGTCGATGCCAACATTATCCGGCTGAGTACAGATATTTCCCGACAAAAAGATTAAAAATTCATAGTATTCACCTAATCCAGTAGATGTATTCACATTGAAGGAGTAGTATTTGACCTCCAGCTGAAGAATGGTGTCTATAATAGGGGTGAACTCTTGTAATCCTTCCGAGGACGTCTTCCTTTTGTCACTTTGCGAATAGTGCTTTATCTGGGGTGGAGTTTCCGTGTGATTGATATGTAGGAGGTCTTGGAGGTAATGGTTGAACCCTATGCCGTCTTCAAACTCTTCATTGTTGAACTGGCTTAATACTCCCTTGAAGAATAAGAGCCCTAGTAGAAGGAAAAGCACAACCACTTTGTTCATTGATGCTGGCTAACAAATCAGGGCCTTGAACGACAGTTGAAATCTTTGTCTCATCGATATTGTGCAACTCTAACAAGTCAGAGAGAGAGTTTTTCGTAAAGTGGCACTGATGTCGCCAATTCTTTACCGTGTCGCAATCATTTTTTTGACATTTACGACAATGATCGTACGAGAATAATGAGGTGGTTGTGGATTGCCTGAGTTTCGGTTGGAGGCTATCTTGGCAATATGACTGGCATTGGGCTTGGCAGCCCGCTTGCTGTTGAGTGTGTGTGCAAGCCAACTGGTACAATATATTACTATATATATAAATATATATATTGGTGTAATCCCTTTTTTATTTGTATAAGATTTAATACATGTCAATTTTAACAATTATGAGAAGATTAGCATTGTCTAACGAATTGTATAGTTCTTATGTAAAAGATCTCCAGTGAGGATTGTGCTTTACGAAGAAGAGATTAACTTGTAATTTAAATGTAACGATTTTTGACAAAGAGCAAGTTATTCCAACATTTTTTTTTAAATCAGTCTGGGTTTCCCAATTTTCAAAACCTTTAGAACTCCATCAAACCACAAACGTTCCCTAAAACGGGTACGAGTACTTCGGCAATCAATATATCTTCATCTACAATACGTCCAACCAATTCGTCTTTGTCATTGTGACAAAGATAACTTTCACTCCAAAGTTCACCACACGTGACTCACACA